GTCGCTGTCTACGCGTAGCCTAAAGATGGACAGGTCAGTACCTTCAAGGCTGCCGAGGCGTCGAAAATAGATGTCCCCTCTGACGTACACTCAAACTCCAGCCGGGGGGCACATAAGAGTGTTCTAATCTGTACCCCGGATAAGAGAGATATGAAGTATCAGCCGGAGAGGACACCCGAGTCTCGGTTAGAAAGAGCAAGGCCGGCTTCGCCGTTTCCAGATGGTAGTGGACGGCGTTAAGATTTGAATGAAGTCCCCTGATGTTGCAGGCGAGGGGCGCCTTTGACTTATTGATCCGTTTGCCTCAAACAGGTTTAGTATCGAGCAGAATTTCCCCCCCCCCCCCCGAATACGAGCGGCAGCCTGAGCAAACACGCTCAGGAAGAGTACGGTACGGAGTTTGGATGCTCAGCGAGCGATTCTCCTGTGTGTGTGTGTGTGTGTGTGTGTACGTGTGTGTGTGTGTACGTGTGTGTGTGTGTTTGTACGCGTATGTTTGTACGTGTGTGTGCAAGTGTGTGTACGTGCGTGTGCACGTGTTTGTGTGCGTGTGTATGTGTACGTGTATGTGTGTGAGTGTGTGTGCACGTGTGTGTGCAAGTGTGTGTGCACGTGTGTGTGTGTGTGTGTGTGTGTGTGTACGTGTGTGTGTGTACGTGTGTGTGTGTGTGTACGTGTGTGTGTACGTATGTGTGTGTATGTGTGTGTGTGGTGTGTGTGTGTGCGTGTGTGTGTATGTGCGTGCGTGCGTGTATGTGTGTGTGTGTGTGTGTGTGTGTGTGTGTGTGTGTGTGTGTGTGTGTGTATGTGTACGTGTGTGTGTGTTTGTGTACGTGTGTGTGTGTGTGTGTGTGTGTGTGTGTGTGTGCGCGTGCGTGTTTTTGCGCGTATGTTTGTACGTGTGTGTGTGTGTGATGTGTGTTGTGTGTTGTGTGCACGTGTGTGTGCACGTGTGTGACAGTGTGCACGTGTGTGTGCACGTGTTTGTGTGTGTATGCGTGTGTGTGTGTGTGTGTGTGTACGTTAGTGTGTGTTTACGTGTTAGTGCAAGTGTGTGTGCACGCGTGTTCATGTGTGTGTGCATGTGTGTTCACGTGTGTGTGTGTGTACGTGTGTGTGCACGTGCGTGTGTGTACGTGCGTGTGTACGTACGTGTAACTAAGCCATTCAGCATGGTGGGCGTTACAATCACCAAGTATCACGATCTCTACGGATAGGACCTGTTGTAGCACAGAGTCTACAGCCATCTGGACGTGGGTGATCAGTCGGTCTGTGTCGGCATTACCGCAATGGGACCTACATAGGCACCTATAGACGCGGGGATGGTCGTCGCTGTCTACGCGTAGCCTAAAGATGGACAGGTCAGTACCTTCAAGGCTGCCGAGGCGTCGAAAATAGATGTCCCCTCTGACGTACACTCAAACTCCAGCCGGGGGGCACATAAGAGTGTTCTAATCTGTACCCCGGATAAGAGAGATATGAAGTATCAGCCGGAGAGGACACCCGAGTCTCGGTTAGAAAGAGCAAGGCCGGCTTCGCCGTTTCCAGATGGTAGTGGACGGCGTTAAGATTTGAATGAAGTCCCCTGATGTTGCAGGCGAGGGGCGCCTTTGACTTATTGATCCGTTTGCCTCAAACAGGTTTAGTATCGAGCAGAATTTCCCCCCCCCCCCCCCCCCCCGAATACGAGCGGCAGCCTGAGCAAACACGCTCAGGAAGAGTACGGTACGGAGTTTGGATGCTCAGCGAGCGATTCTCCTGTGTGTGTGTGTGTGTGTGTGTGTGTGTGTACGTGTGTGTGTGTGTACGTGTGTGTGTGTGTTTGTACGCGTATGTTTGTACGTGTGTGTGCAAGTGTGTGTACGTGCGTGTGCACGTGTTTGTGTGCGTGTGTATGTGTACGTGTATGTGTGTGAGTGTGTGTGCACGTGTGTGTGCAAGTGTGTGTGCGCGTGTGTGTGCAAGAGTGTGTGTACGTGTGTGTGTACGTGTGTGTGTGTGTGTACGTGTGTGTGTACGTATGTGTGTGTATGTGTGTGTGTGGTGTGTGTGTGTGTGTGTGTGTGTATGTGCGTGCGTGCGTGCGTGTGCGTGTCGTGTGTGTGTACGTGTGTGCGAGTGCGTACGTGCGTGTGTGCGTGTGTGCGTGCGTGCGCTTGCGCGTGTGCGTGTGCGTGTGTTTGGTGGACTAGCGACGGTGTCGTTCACTACAGCTTTCTAAAATCTGGCCAAACGATTACGGCAGATATCTAGCAACTGTAGCCCATGAAGGAAGAACTAGCTGCTAAACAACCGAGATTGGTCAATCGCTCTAGGTCACTACTGCTTCACAACAACGCAAGACCACATACTGGACAACAAACAACCACTAAGTTAGATGAGCTATAATTGGAATGTCTGCGACATCCATCGTACTCCACGGCCCTTGCTCCAACAGATTACCATTTTTTCCGGAATATGGACAACTTCTTACAAGGAAAAATTCTACTCCGATGCGGCTATCCAAACCGCCTTCAAAGAGTTTATTGATTCTCGCCCCCATGGTTTTTTTAGTTAAAGGGATCAATGAACTAACTATGAGACGGCAAAAGTGCATAGATAACAACGTGCATACTTTGATAATTAAATATATTTTACAAAAAAAAATTGACTTTATATTCTTCCCGTACAAAACGCAAATTTCATATGTAAGGACCTAATACTTTAATTTATAAAAGTAGATAATATAAAATATATTTCAAAATAACAACCAGGCGGATCGTGCGCGTATCTATGGTTATGGCAGAATCGTCAGCGCTAGATTATCTTGTAGCATTATAGTAGATTATCTTGCAGCATTATGGTGAGTCATAATTTTTTCATTGGCTCGATACACACACCATCACTTGTTAGTCTTAAACCGTACTACAGTTAACAGTCTTTTTTAAACTATTTCATCCTTTTTTGTCTGCTTAATACATATTAATAAAGTATTTAAATAATTATTTTCTGTCTCTTTAGTCCGTCAGTCAGTTCTTAAATATTTTTACGTATCAAGTCTACCTTATCGAGAAGTTATTTTAAAATCGATAACAAAGTTTGTACTGAAGAAACAGACAGACAGACAAGAAAGTGAGTTAATAAAAACATGTTAAAATGAATATTTACTCACCATTACAACTATGGAGGCCCTGTTGGGAGCCAAATGTGACAAGTGGAACATCTCCCCAGGCTTGAATATCTGTGTTCTCTTCAAACCCAACTGTGATACAACAATGTCAATTGGCAAGGAGTTCTGCAGCTTCACAGCCGGCTTCAGCACTATGTCGTAGCAGGACGAGGCGAAGGTGTGTCGGTTTGTGTGCTCAAAGTAAACTTGCTCCATTGTGCCCACAGCCTGGTCGCATACATATGAAAATAACGTTAGAACTACATAATTAACTGGTAATACATTGGAGTGATGACCTAGTATGACATGCTGGAAGTCGATAAATCCAGTTGATTCAGGGCCGTGTTTTGTAGTACCACCACCAGGTGAGATTGTAGTTAAGCGCTGGCTCATATTGAGTAAAATAAATCATTGGTGACGGCGAACATAAACCCGGGTGCTCGCTTGTGATATTTACTACTAGCGCTCAGCCCCTGAAATACTACGGCACCCCTTTTAGAAGTTAACTAGAATATAGAGGATTATTAGAGTACACCATTGCTAAGTGATAGGCTTGCAGGGTGATCAGGGCTGAAAAAAGAAAAATTGACGGTTCGACTAAACAAACTAAATGGTCTCCGAATTCTAACCTTCAGATAAAACTTCTCTCCGCTGGTTTTGTCCTTGGAATCACACTGAAGCAACTTTGTAATCTTTACTTCTTGCTGCAACTCACGCCAAATAAATGGTGACACTGACACCGTGAAACCTGCAATTCGTCAGACTAAATTAAAATTATAAAATGAGATAAACGTTAAAGAGTATAATGGTGATATGCTTGAACACTTCTAGTCAATAAGTATAAAAATACTTTAAAAATATATCGTTAATTAACAACATCCAGACCGAATTTCTGCCAGCTCACCGCCTAACCATTACGCAGGATAAGGTTATAAAACGGATCCTAAAATTGTTTAAATAAGTAGATATTTAAAAACACGCTCCCGTCAACAGCATGTATCGTACAGAAGACTAAGTGGAGTGCGCTGGCACACGGTCGCGCCGCCCACTACCCCGCATGGCCCCATCGTTGTTCTGCACAAGGACATTCGCTTCAAAATCCTATGTTCTTTAAACTGTGGTTATAGTGTGCGAGTGCATGCGCAAAAACAGAAGCAGACTCTATTCCGTCACTCTCATTTTGCGACTCCAGACATCGCCATAACGTTCGTCGTTCGTCACCTCGTGCGAGGTCGCAAGCACATCGCTTCGCTTTCGGTAAACTCTCGCACATCAAAGAATTTTATAGCTTTGAATTTCGCTTATGCGTAGCCGCATCAGGCGGCACGTGTAGAATTAAAATTAGGATATATATACATTATTGTTGTAGCACTAAAGGGTCGGCTCGGCCGGGGTAGGACCACGCACTCACAGAATACCAGCGTGAAATAGTTTCGTATGGTGAGTGTAGAAAACTGGAGACCCTTTTTACTGGAAACTAGGCATTCCATCTTAGTCCGCAAGGGTGACAACGCATCTGCATTTGATCCTTAATCGAGGATAAATGTAGATGTCTATGGGCCACAGCATCCACTTACCATCAGGTGGACTGTGTGCTCGTTTGTTACCCCATTCTATAAAAAAATATCGACGATAACGTGTCGTTAAATTAAAAGGCTTTATATCAGTGTCGGTTGTGATTTATTGTTATCGGTATCGGCTAAAAAAACGCTCATAATTGTAACATTTTTCAGCACTGTCTGCTAATATATATTTTTGGGAAGAAATGGAGTGGCAGATTCACTTCAGGTGCGATGGACTGTGAGTTATAGATTCGCTTCGTGACAGAATCTGTATCGTAGACATCCATAAACAAACCGAATTGATTGAATAAGTAATCTGAACTGAAAGCCACAACTCGAGAATTTTCTCATAAGCATATTTTTTGTACAAGTAAAGAGCTGATAGAAGAAATGGGTACAGTTCCTCGATTAAGGATCAAAATGCTGATGTGTTATCAGCCCTGATATCTAAGTTGAAATGCCTCGTAACAATTGCTATTAAAATATTTTACAGTGGTATTTATCCAGCTGCCACAATGGTCTGCCTACGAGGATAATAATGACTTTTAACGTATTTTTAATAATCATCATACAAACCTTCAACTGAGAAGAATATCTCAGCAGTTGGTGTATGGACAGCTTGTAGAGGTAAGCGTAAAATTCGGCCAGGCTTCACTTCCCCTAATAAACCCACCTCATTGCCGCTCGCGGTCATATAGTATACGGAAACGTTTACCGCGAGCGTATTTGTTACCTATAAAAGAAAAAGTTGCTAGAAATGATATTTACAAATCTAAGTCCAGCCCGCCCTCTTTATTCCTGATCAATTTTGACCACAGCTACATCGATAACAATCCAAAGCAGTTGGATTAATGAAAGCTAAAACCCATAGCTTTCAATTTGAAACCTCAAATGATTATTTATACAGAATGTTAGTGTAAACACCTTTATCCTTGAAACCAGTGGTTTGATTTCACTTATAGAATGTAAATTCAATGAATTTAAAAAAAACGCTATTTTGTTTCATAAAATTTAAAAAGTTTCTGTCCGACACCGTCCGTAAATTCATGGATACGCGAGACGTAATCACTGTAAAGATCACCGCCCGCGCTAGCTACCTACACAATATTCCAACAAACACACAATAGGTACACATAACCTGTGATGTTACTTTTCCTTCATACTTATACTTTATATTCCTTCATACTTTCAACAAAAATTAAGGAATTAATGAAAAATTGAGATTTTACTAAAAAAAAGTTGATTTTTCATTAAATTTACGTTCTGTAAGTGAAACCAAACCACTGGGTTCAAGGATAACGGTGTTTACACTAACAGCCTGTAGACAACAACGATAAATATAGACAGTAAACAGTATTTTTTTAAGTCTTGCAGTGATATGCGAGGCGTTGTCGCTTATTAAATCTGATGTAATGGGTCGTCAGATTCATTTTGAGTACAACGCATTCTGGATCGAGAGTAGATGTAGGTGTATATGGGCCACAGCACCAATTTACCATCAGGTGGATTGTTTGCTCGTTTATAAATCTTACTTCGACGATAAAAAACAATAATAAAAATAGTTTTTAGCATTAATTATAGATTAGTAAAATACATGTCTAGTGTTAAGAATAGAACAAATGACATTTCCGTATTCGTGTGAACGAGTATTTCCTGTGGACTCCTGACATAAAACCGATTCTCTGCTCAATAATAGTGTTATGGGTGAGCCGAATAAATAACTACTTGAGTTACAAAGGTTACCTGCACGACACTGCGCAGGTATATATGCAGCGCAGCGTCTTGCATGAGGACGTCGGAGATGAGTCCGCGCGGTTCCATGGCGGCGGCGTGCGGAACGTTTTTCTCCAGAGTGCCGCCCGCTTGTCTTCTTCCCAGAGTGAAATACCGTTTATCTGCACGCTCCACTGGTAGCACCACCTCTTCATCCAATTCCACAATCTGCAAATTACGTCCTTATTGAAAAGAACTTCCCCGGTTACTGTGTAACTCAGGTAGCACAAATAGTAATAACTATGGACAGTGGGGTGAGGGGTAAAGGCCTAATAATCAGCAGACTATAGTCAATCAAATCTAAGAAATGCATTTTGACAGCTGTCAGACTTTTATTACACCAAGCATGCCAACCAAAATATGGGAACGTACAATATTCGATTCTTAAAAAATCGATATCGATTATTTAGAGTTGGTAATCATTTACAGTTTGGTTTGAATAATACAAGAATAAATTAAAAACGGATAATTTAAAACACAAGATTTATCAGTTTCTTCGTATTTGTTGTTACTGCTTATTTCTAGAGGCACAGTTATAAAAATTTAAGATTGAAACTAGATTATAGGCTTGATTAAAACTACTTTTACGGATTTTATCGCGTTTATTTTTACTTTTTATTTACTTTTATTTTTAATTCCCGACGTTTCGGGCGCTTTCCAGCACCCATGGTCATGGGGGACTGAGATGACTGACGTCCCGATGTCATTGTTAAACCCGGAGTACCTTCAGCTTTTTTAATTATTGTTTATGGTCCGATCTATGCAAAATGAACTGACTATGTCCTGAGGTCTTGCAGTGGTATGCTTGGGTTTAGTTTTAATTTTATTGATTATAGGATCCCAAGCAGGTGGTAGTACCCAGCGTCCTTCTCTATTGAAATTAGGATGTTATTTAATTTCAATAGCCTCACGTATCATCCTTGGTAGGAATCGGTGTTCTTTCGCGAGGATTTGTGGTCTATCAAATCTGATGTAATGGTTGGGTCCGTCTAGGATATGATCACAAACTGCAGACTTCCCGGAACGTTGATTCACATCAGCTATATATTCTTTTACGCGGGTCCTAATTGATCTTTTTGTTTGTCCTATATAAGAGAGACCACATTCACAATCAAGCTTGTACACTCCTGCATCTTGTAGAGGAATATGACACTTGACGGATGGTAGGAACTGACTAATCTTCTTCGGCGGCTTGTAGAATGTTCTAATAGAAGCTCGCTTCAAGATATAGCCAATCTTGTCTGTGACACCTCTGACATATGGTAGTACAGCAGGCACACGCTACGTCACAGTGACCGAGTGAAGCCGGCCACAGTCGAGCGTAAAAGAACATATAGCTGATGTGAAGCATCAATGTTCCGGGAAGTCTGCAGTGTGAGATCATATCCTAGACGGACCCAACCATTACATCAGATTTGATAGACCACAAATTCTCGCGAAAGAACACCGATTCCTACCAAGGATGATACGTGAGGCTATTGAAATTAAAAAACATCCTAATTTCAATAGAGAAGGAGGCTGGGTACTACAACCTGCTTGGGATCCTATAATCAATAAAATTAAAACTAAACCCAAGCATACCACTGCAAGACCTCAGGACATAGTCAGTTCATTTTGCATTGATCGGACCATAAACAATAATTAAAAAAGCTGAAGGTACTCCGGGTTTAACAATGACATCGGGACGTCAGTCATCTCAGTCCCCCGTGACCATGGGTGCTGGAAAGCGCCCGAAACGTCGGGAATTAAAAATAAAAGTAAATAAAAAGTAAAAATAAACGCGATAAAATCCGTAAAAAGTAGTTTTAATCATGTATAGTGTTCGCGTAAATATAAGAAATCATTATAGATTATAGGCTGTTTTGAATGTTTTGAATTTCAAAACAGCCATTCCAAAAAACATTCAAAACAGCCTATAATTAATGCTATAAGAGATGAGAATGGCTATATTCTGAATGATGAAGTTTTGAGTTCAAAGAGATGGAAGAGTTCAAGGAGAAGGAATATTTTGAAAGCGTTTTTTTTATGAGTGAGGAGACAATGTATAAAATAAATGAAATAGAAACTCCGAAAGAAGAGGAAAGAGAATGAAATAATGAAAGCAATGAAAAGCATGAAAGCAGGTAAGGCTGCCGGATATGATAGAGTTTCACTCGAAATGCTAAGGGCTGGAGAGGAAGGGGTGGCAGGCCTGCTGCACACCTTGTTTAATTTATGCTGTGAACTGAAGCGGGTACCGGTAGACTGGTGCAAAGCCGTGATAGTCCCAGTATATAAAGGAAAAGGGTCGCAGCAGGACTGTAAAAACTACCGTGGTATCAGCCTTCTTAGCATTGTGGGAAAACTGTAGGCTAAGATACTAATTGAAAGGGTCATGAAAGAAACTGATGAAAAAATTTGGGATGTGCAAGCGGGATTTAGAAAGGGAATGGGATGTACAGATCAAGTATTTTCCATGCGCATGATCGTGGAAAAGTTTTTGGCCAAAAACCAAAAGTTGTGCGCTCATGGAGTTGAAAAGGCTTATGAGAGAGTGGACAGGGATGTGCTATGGCAAACACTGAATTCATTTGGAGTCGCTTTATAGGGACTCTAGTGCTTGTGTTAGGATCAACGGGTCTACTCGGACTGCTTTGGCATCCATAAAGGTGTCAGACAGGGCTGTGTGGCTTCCTCATGGCTGTTCAACCTATTTATGGACAGGTGTTTGCAAAATTTGAAAGTTGAAGAATGCGGATTAAGAATGGGTGAGTTAACCGTCAAATGCCTTTTGTACGCCGATGATCAAGTTATTCTTGCGTCGTCGGCGGGCGAGCTGCGAATGATGGTTACATTAATGAACAGATCATTAAAAGAAAGGGGTATGAAAGTGAAAGCAAGTAAGACGAAAGTTATGGTTTTTGAAAGAGAAGAAAGTAAGACGATATGTGAAATAAGAATAGAAGGGGAGTTGATCGAGCAAGTAGATGAGTTTGTATATCTGGGTTGCGTATTTAGCAGGGATTGGAGATGTGAGAAGGATATAGAAGACGAGTGAATGCAGGAAATAGAATAAATGGGGCCCCACACTCTATTTTGAAGAGTCAAAATGTGTCGAAAAAGGCACGTATGGCAATTCACAATGCTGTGTTGGTCCCTACTTTAACGTATGATAGTGAAAGTTGGTTGTGGCAGAAGAAGCACGAGAGTAGAATGAACGCAGTAGAAATGCGGTCGTTAAGGAGTATGTTATGGCTGAATCTGAATGACAGGGTAAGAAATTGTGTAATAAAAGAAGAGTGTGGTTTGCAAGATGATGTTTTGACCAGGATTAAGAAAGGAATGCTTCGGTGGTTTGGTCATGTGGAAAGAATGAATGAGGAAAGAGTGACAAAGAAAATTTATGTTGCAAAAGTGAATGGCAGAGTCGGAAAGGGACGTCCTAGGCGAAAATTTATCGACCAAATTGGCGATTTATTGAAAACGGGCCAAATTAGGAGTACCCTTAACCGACGAGCATGTATGCGTAGGTGTATGGATGTGAAGAAGGCGAGAGAGGTGTGTCAGGATCGTGCCAAATGGAAGTCTGTAGTCTCTGCCTACCCCTCTGGGTGACAGGCGTGAGTGTTTATGTATGTATTATGTATGAAACTAGATTACTAATAAATTTATTCAATCACTTTCAGTACAACTAGTAGAGATGTGGTTGTTTATATTAATTATTATTTGATTTTCAATAATGCAGTCAAAATGTATGTCTCTTTCAAATTCATCCATAATCATTTTTTTTTTTTTTTTCTATCACTTTTGCCCAATCATGCTTTGTGACATGGGCACATGCTTCAACGAATATATTTTTTATATCATTGGGTGACAAACTAGCACACAGTCCACCTGATGGTAAGTGGATGCTATGGCCCATAGACATACAAATATGCATCCTCAATTAATAATCCAAATGGAAATGCGTTGTCATCACTGAGGACTAAGATGGAATGCCTCGATTCCAGTAAAAAGGGTCTCCGGTTCTCTACACTCACCATACGAAACACAACAGCATTACGCTGCTATTTTACGCTGGTATTCTATGAGAGCGTGGTCCTGCCCCGGTCGAGCCGACCCATTCGTGCTACAACTATAATATAATGTAACGTGGCTCTACCACATACAAAAAGTTATTATAGAAGAAATAGTCCAAAAATTTAACAGCCGAGTAACAAAATAAGAACACAAAAACAAAATCACAAAATAACGCAAAGATAGCTCTCGAAACAGAAACAGAAACTTTTTTATTCAATATTGAATAATACTTCTTGAAAGTCACTTTTTTTATTTACCACTGGTTCGCAAAAAAATCTCTGTGCTGGAAAGAATCAGCAAGAAACCCAACGGGACTAGTTTAAAAAAAAATAAAAGCTTACAATCATGCGTGTTATAATTAACAACACAAAACAAATTAGAAATAGCTTGGTAGTGATCACCCTTCCCAGGGGTTATCATCCATAAATTCCTTAATAATAAAATAGCCCTTGTTATACATACTTGTTATGTATACAAACTTAGTTTAATGTTTAATGTTAAAGATTTTGAACTTTGTGTACTTACGTCAAATTTTGTATATTTTCTGAGATTTTGTTGTAAAAGCGTATACATCGCCCCAAGAATGAATTACTGACTCTGTAGAGTCGAGTAACTGGTACAAAAAGGGCGGGATATTGAAATTATGTAGTGTATATTTAGCACGGCCTTGTGTATGAGTGTTTTGCCTACACAAACTTTGACAATGTAAAAAAATAAACTTGTTTCATTCATGATTCATGTAATTTAAGGATTTTTGAAAATACAAATTAAATTAAACAAATAATACATTAAAGAAATAATGATTCCATTATTTGAAAATTTTTACCGATTATTTGAATATTTAGCCGATTATACGCATAACAATGAATTTTAATCATCCAAACACTCCGGTAATATACATAGGGACATCATTGAAACGACGTCAAGTAAAAAAAAGTTAATACTGGTTATTTATTAATATTTTGCTTTGAGTTTGGGCAAGCACGCGCCACGCCGCGCCAGTTAAACAAAAAAAAGTTAAAAAAGCAAAAACGGGTGGCGCGGGCTCGCGCGTTGCGCGTGCTTTCGCGTACAAATCAACACGGACGGTGGGGCACGTGATAACACACGCAGTGAGAAGCCGCCATTATATGTAATGGGCCATTTTTTTAGTTCTCGGAGATGAAAACGCAACTTCTCCTTTTTGGAATTGGCAATGTGGGATACGGTCCTGGTGAACCCACTTGCCATCAGATGATAACTCAATGTCAAAATCAAAATACAAAAGGAAAAAATACTAAAATGAAACTTTACATTCATTTTTAATTTTATAATGTAATAAGTACTTATAACTAATAATATGATTGACCTATTAAAAACATGCTTTTACTTTAGAATTTAAATAGAATTAAATGTTTTCTGAATTAAAAAATATTGAGATAAGTTTAAAGCGTAGGACATACGGACAAATACAATACAATACAATACCCTTTATTGGACACTAAGAAAACAAATAGCATAACAAGAAACAAACAAAGATAAAAACAAAAGGCGGTCTTATTGCTATGCAGATATGCAGATGCTATGTTTTCAAGTATATGTACTAATGTAGCTTTATTAAATATTGTTATGCAAATATCGTGATGTACAACCTCTTGGAAATAAAGAACTTATTATTATTTTTGGGGTATCTGTATAGTTTTCTCATCTGGTTGGTTTCTATAAATATATAATTATAAATTAAAATGAAAAGATAAATATACATAAATATCAATAAAATAAAATAAATACAAAAAATACACAAATAAATAAAGATCCAACCAGATGGAAGCCCTCGGCAGGGGAGACCAAACGGCCGAGGGTTAGGGGGAAAGGGAAAGAAACCGACGGACGATGCGGGCGGTATCGAGGACCACTGCCTTCTGCATTTGAGCCCGGGGCGGTCCGTCACGGAGTCCCAGTCGCCTCAGATGACCCGAGAGGCTGACTGGGATTAGCCCGTTTGCAGAGACGACTACAGGAATAATTTCGGTCGGCAGACCACCCCACATGTCGGTCACCTCGTGAGCCAGGTCCAGATATTTTGTTTGCTTATCTGTTTCGGCTTTCACGAGGTTCTCGTCATACGGAATGGTAATGTCGACCAAAAATATCCTTGACTGTGCCCGGTCCATCAGCACAATATCAGGCTTATTTGCAAGAATAGTCCTGTCTGTGATGATGGCCCGATCCCAGTAGAGCCTGGCGCGGTCATTTTCGAGCACGGCTTCCGGCAAGTACTAGTAATACGGCAATTTCCGGTCCACGAGACCGTATTTCAGAGCGAGCGCCTGGTGTAGAATTCTGGCTACTAGGTTGTGCCTGTGCAAGTACTCAGAGTTAGAAAGCGCCGAACAACCGGAGATGACATGTCTAAGTGACTCCCCGGGATGGCGACAAGCTCGACAGACGTCGACGGTGCCATCCTTTAGGATGTATCTCCGATAGTTTTTGGTCTTAATAACCTGATCCTGTATTGCACAGACAAAACCCTCGGTTTCCCCGAAGAGGTCACCGAAACGTAGCCAGTTGAGGGAGGCGACTGTATCTACGAAGGGCTCATGTAGAACCCTGTAGTACCTCCCGTGGAGCTCCTTCTCCTTCCATACGGTCTCCCGGTCGGAAATGCTAAGCACTGCTGGGTCCTGCCATTGCTCGTTGGCCAAGGATAGAGGGGTAAGCCCTTTATCACTAGAAATGACGTCATTATAGAATGGATCATCCGATCTCGCCAGGAAGTAATGACGGAGGCTGCACACTTCACGATTATGCATAGTGAGCGCGCTTAGAAAGCCACGCCCACCATGCTTTCGCGGCAAGTACAGCCTCATTACCGACGATCTCGGATGATGCATCCTATGGGACGTCATGGTAGTGCGGACTTTTCTATCCAGGGCGTTAAGTTCAGTCTGAGTCCACCTGAGTATGCCAAAGGTATACATAAGGACAGGCATGACCCAACCGTTATATGCGTGTGTCTTATTCACACCGGACAAAAGGCTATTAAGCACTTTGGTCAAGCGTGCATAAAACACGTCGCAAACTGACTGTTTCACACCAGCCTCATCGATACCGATGTTCTGTGACATACACAGGTATCGGTATGTTTCAGCCTCGGAAAGGGTCCTTAAGTTGACGGGCATAGATAAATCTATGCCCTCAGAGTTAGCAACCCTTCCCCTCTCAACATGGAGGACCGCACACTTATCCGTCCCCAGCTCCATTCCAATGGAACTGCTAAACTCACAAGTGATTTTTAGCAATTCCACAAGATGGGAGCGACTGGAGGCGAATAACTTAAGGTCATCCATATAGAAAAAGGTGGGTCACTTTTGTCCCTCCTTTCCGTAGCTGAAATCCTCTCCCGGATCCCTCCAGTAAGGTACTGAGAGGGTTCAGGGAGAGGCAGAACCAGATTGGACTCAGACAATCGCCCTGGAAGATACCCCTTCTCATCCTTATGTGGTTCTCCGCAGCCATCATCCGCTCACCTAGATGACAAAGGATCGTACTCCACTGCCCCATACACTGCTCGAGGAAGTCTCTCACTGTAGTCTATCTTGTACAGCTCGAGGACTCTCTTTAGCCATGTATGGGGCACCGAGTCGAATGCCTTTCTGTAGTCTATCCAGGCGGCGGAGAAGTTCCGACGGTTGCGTTTCACCACTTTGCCAATGACCGCGTCAATGAGGAGTGGTTCCTTAGTTCCACGACCACCGCCCCGACATCCATTTTGAGCGCGTGACATCACCTGATTTAGCTCCAGGTGACGAGTGATTCTCGCGCTCAAAATGGATGTCAGTGTCTTATATATGGTGGGTAGACACGTAATGGGGCGGTATTTGCTCGGGTCTGTGGTAACCTGGTCTTTAGGAACCAAATGAGTGATCCCAGTAGTGAAGAGGCTAGGGAGCGACTTCTGGTTGAGAGCCTCTTGAAACTGACGGGCGAGCACAGCGTGACACACCATGAACCCCTTCAGCCAGTAGTGATGCAGTCCGTCGAGTCCCGGACTTTTCCAGTTCGGGGCTCTACGGACCGCCTCAGCTACGTCATCCGGCGTTATGATGACGGGGTCCATGGGCGTAATACTCGCACACTGACTCGCCACAACTTCCGTCCAAGGGCCCTCGCTGTGGTTTACGGGCTCTGACCACAGGCCACGCCAAAATGCGACAGTGTTAGCCTGATCCGGTCCTGGGCCCGCTCCACATACCTCTGGTCGCTCCAATGATTTGTAGAGCCTCTTCTGATCACTCTGGAAGAGACGATTCTGGTTGAACCGCCTTGACCTCTCGGTAAATCGGCGAATCCGCTTCCCCCAAGCGGCAATCTTTTGCTTCAGGTCGTCTATGCGTATATACTATTATATACGCATAGACGACCTGAATATACTTTTGCTTCAGGTCGTCTATGCGTATATAATATATATTATTATTATTATTATTATTATGCAGCAATTTCTTCCAGATAACCAAATAACAGGCATAAAAAATACCAAAACAAGCTTACCTTAACAGTTAACTTCAGTGGTGGTGGTGGCTCATTCAATTTCATCAAATTGAGTCCACCATGCTTCAGCTGCAATGGAACACATGCGCCTGGCTCTAAAACAACTTCCCTGTAACAAGAAAGCTAATATTTGGAAACAGTCACAAAGAACTAAACACAGATATCCGATTCATATATCAGATTACCTATAATCATTGGATTTGTATTCGTCAGTAAGAAACACAGAAAAATCGTCGTTATTCTGCAGCAGCAACTTAGTGGTCAGACCGATGCAGTTGTGAAGGACGTATGGTGCACCCAAGTATTCCTTGTTTAAACTCTAAAATTAGGTATTAATAATTAGTAAATATAATTATTTTGGTATAAATAGACTATAACAATATATTCAAAAATGCAAATAAAAATACGTACGTCTTCAGTCTTAGACTTTGATACGAGAGTGGTATCAGTTTCTGTAGCCACGGCAGCCGCGAATGAGTTGCCGAGTTGCGTCAACACCTAAAATAAATATTATTTTTGTATAAGTGTACAATTCTAATATACGGATAAAATCCGTAACGAACATGCCTGCAGTCCACAGAAGAACCCCCTCCCTCCCTCCCCCTCCACGTCTAGACACACTTAGGTAATATAAGTTGTGATTTATTTACAGACTTTACGATAATGTATCTAAATCTTTTCCTTCCTATTACTCTAATATGTAGAAGAATTTTTACACATAATTCTTATACATTGTTATTAATATGGATGATTTGAAATAGGTCTCAACAAATGCTTTTATTATGATCTTAAGAGTGTTTTACTTTCTGTGACGTTCTGAAAATTCACAATCCCTTTATTATATCTTTAGCGACCGACCCAAGCTTCGCCTGGATAGGATCTATTCATTTGGCCTTAGACTATTTGTTTTAGGAGCGATGTATTCATTAATTACGTAGGGATGATTTAGGCGATTTATATGTATGTATATGTATACATATAAATTTTTAAATCTCATTTCTGTACGTCAAACGTAGCACATAACCTAATGCGGATAACATACCTCCATTCCACTTCTGGTGATGGTGATTTCAAGTGGTTCACTGCTTGAAATGGTGATGGTTTTGTTTGCATGCCTGTGTGCGACGGCATGCAGAGTTGTCACCTCGTCGGTTGTGTCGATTTGAGCGTTAGTGTCTTGTGATTTCATTACAACCTAAAATAATTGATGTTTATACTAATTTTTACTTTAAATAGTTTTGTCACAAATCAATCATGGTCCCTCTAATGTTGTGACTTGAATACAAATTAAAATACATATGCGTTGTCATCCCTGATAACCAAGATAGTGTTACGGACGGCTATGTGAGAAACAGGTCGTCACCCCGCACACCTCACACCGCTTCGACACGTCTCCTGAATTCTCCAATGCAAAGCGAAGCAACGGCCGCGCAACCAATCAGAGCGCTATAGGCGCTATAGGCGCGATAGGCGCGACCCCGGCGGCGGGAATAAAACTGAGGCCCCCGGCCGGCATTCTCCATGCGCCCCCTTTTCCCCGAGGGGGGTCGCTTCCGATATGGCAAAAAAAGGTCCTTCAGGCCAAGTCAGTCTCAGGTGGTTTTTAGTGGGTAGGCACTTAGGTGTTTAAAGTAGGCTTGTGTAACTCTTAACGGAACCGACTCACAGATCCGAATCACTGAAGTGATTCAAAAGATTGGTTCAGTAACAATATTTCAAAAACATTACTTTGCTCTGTTCTCATTTCGCGCGACGCGACTGAGCCGCGAGCGAAAGAGATAGGCTGAGACACTGAGTAACTTCACTATTGACTCGCGAGTAGCGAGTGAGCGGGCGAAATAATTACAATCTATATGTCAGAAAGTGATAACAAATGAGAAGTGTATCCCTCAAAACGTTCGAATTTTCGCTGTCGTTTTCAAGCACGTAAAAATGACCTCTAAGGCGCTTTTACGTATTAAATAATATACGGTCGTGTTTGCATGTAATATTTGCATTAACAAGTTGTCATTTTACGGTGATGCGGCTTTCGTCAATTTATTTATGTTCGTTCACGTCTGTTTACGAAAACATACTGAGTTTTGTTTAAATTACAATTTAAGTAAAAACATTAAAAAAAGACTGTAAATATAATTAAAAAATCACTGTAAATAGAATCGATTTTTTATTGAGAATTAAATACGGCTACAATAATCATTGTAAATACTTAAAAGAAATGTCTGTTAGTTTTTCGTACCACCTTTTAATTAATAATGTCCCTAGCAATAGTTTCTCAGTAAATAGTTAATTAGTTAAATTCAGATAGATTATAACAGAGATATAGAACATAGATTTCTTTCTTCACACATAAGTAAATACATAAATAATTAACAAATACAGTCCACTTCGCTCTCCATCCACTACAGATGGCCTGTCGCGCTATCAGTAACGGTCTCCGGTTTTTCACGCGGGTATTTTGTGAGAGCGTGGTGCTTCTCCGGTCGATCGACGAATTCATACTGTCACCATAATATAGCTGCATTGCAAATGTTATTCATGTTATATTAAATATAATTTAATAGACTAGCCGCACTAAACTAAGAAGACATTCTCGGAACAGAAAGTTATCATTGCATAATGCCATATTTCTGTCCTCTACTTCTTCTCTGTATTTTGATATATTTAACGAGTACCTGGCTTTGTACTAAGTACTCATTTATAAACTATTAAAGTAGTTCCTAGTTAATAATAAGTTTATGTACTTTATACGTTCTCTATTTTATATGGACAAGCTACAAAGCTCCAACTAAATAACACAAATTTAAAATGCCGCCCATTTTGTATCCAATAAGTTGTTATTAGTTTATAGGTTATAGTGTTACATTTCAATTTGTGAACCTAATGTATACTTAGCCCTTTACCGCATGAATTTTTTAAATCCTTTGGAAAAAATATATGTCACTATAGGGTATATATAGCACCCCAAAAAAAATATTTAAATAAATATAGAACACCATTAAAAAAAGATAAATAGGTAAAAGTAATTGTTCCAAATATGGAACACCGTGCGTTCTAGTTCAATAACATAGACGTTCCATATTTGGTACAACATGCGGTGTGGTCTAATTATGTATAAGTAATTGAAATAGAATTTTATAAAAATAAAAGAAACAAAGTGAAGCAATGAATAAGTATTTAATTTAAAAAAAATTATGTGTGAAAGTTTTTAAAACAGTTGCGATCTTTGTTAAAACAAAGATAACACCCACACTTTTCGCACATCACTTGGGATTTCTGCGTGCATCCTACCATTTTACACCTTTGGCGATCAGTTTTCCAATTCGGCCAGTGGTTGAACCCGTCTCCAGCTACTTCCATTGGATACAGTTCTATGCGTCGCCTTGATTGCCCCTTTTTAATTGCCTCAACATCTTGATTCAGTGGTCGTCCTCGTTTGCGTGTAGTCGGAGTATATACCTTTGAGTCTTTGTGCATCAATACATCTGCTATGGTTAATTTAAAGTCAAGCAATGGAATGTAAATATCTTCACCCTTTTGTTTCATGACTCTCCGCCATAATAGCCAACTATTCACGCAACAGAGATCAATGAAATGGAAGAACAGGCGGTGGTACCATTTTTTACTGCGGATTTTGATCCTATAGAAGCCTAACATGGCATCTAGTAAATCGACACCGCCCATGTATTTATTATAAATTAATACTGCTTTTGGGCAAGAAACATCAACTCTACGCTTATGTTTTTTGGAATATCTTTTCACAACTCCCATTGGTTCCTTGCCTACATAGGATGAACACAAACTGACTGCTTTATTGTCGACCCAACTGGTAACTGATAGCTTAACGTTATCAACAGCAACACTTTTTTCGGAGCAATAACCTCGTTCTTTCTTTTCTAAAGCTTTTTTATTTATATTTATATTTGGAGCTCTTCTCAGTTGTACTGTGCCTAATGGCAGAATACCTTTTTTGTGCAAGTTTGCCATTAGCTGCAAACTTGTGTACCAGTTATCGACAAAAATCTTATGGTTCAAATTGTCCGAGACAGTCTTCAATAGTCTTTGAACCACATTTCCTGGCACTCCAAGATCGGGACAGTTTTCAGGCGGTGCTGGGTATTTTCCTCCGAATAATTCAAAGTCGTAACTAAATCCACTGACTCCGCTTAATACGTAATTCAAATAACCCCACTTATGGGGTTTCTTTGCATTGTACTGTCTGATTCCTGAAGTTCGGGCCTTAGTAGGGATCATCTGTTCGTCAATGGACAAAAATTCCTCTTTCGACACTTTTAGCAGTCTTTCGCGTAGGATTTTCATAAGTGGGCGTATTTTCTGAAGTCTATCAAACTGCGGGTCATATGGTTTTAGTTCTTTTGTTTTGTCGAAAAAATGCAGAAAACTTTTAATCTCTTCGAATTTATTGCACGTCATAACATTTGCAACTTTTTCAACATATGTGCCCTCCTTCCAGTAATGACGAGTAGTTGGCAGGTGTACTACCGACATGTAGATAATAATACCAATAAATTTATAAATGTCTTTATGTGTCACTGAATTCAAGTTTTCGGGGAAAATTTGTGCTGCGTATACGTTGCTTTCTTCCTCAATTAAATTTACAGCAGATGACGGAAAAAGAAATTTGAAAAACTCCATTGGAGTATTTAGCTGCATTATTTCATCTGGAAGATTTTCAGATCCCAAAAAAGCAATATTGGATTCATCATACTGAAGATTGTCATCCGACCACACCAACTTATCTTTCTTTTCTTTCTTACTTGAAGAAGCTGCCTGTGAAGTAGAAGGTTGATTGTCTGTAAAATTTTCTAACGTTTCCATATGCTCTTCAGTGCACTCAGGAAATAGCTGGTCCAGTTCCTCTTTTCCTTCTTCATCTTCTTCTTCATCTTCTCCGTCCGAGGAAGACTTTTCTTTTTCTTCATTTATATGTAAAGGATCTTGAGTACTGTAAGTCTCATCATCTGATACATTTTCATCCTCGCTGCTCTCTGGAATTACGACGATTGTTCGTCGAGGGCGCATCTCTATTTTATCTACAATTAAAGTAATTAAGCAAATTTAAAGATAATCACGTATAAACATAACTATATATAATACATATTCAGGGCGGGACATCTAAAACTGCGCTACTTTTACTTGTCCTACTTAAAAATTACATTAGCTGCAGGGTATAGTATTAAACTGCAAGTATAAAAAAGATCTTATGCAGCATAATGTTCCGAATTCTGAACTTGTAAGTTATTGACGGTTTCATATTCAATACAAAAATTTGTTAAAAAAATTGACCTAAAACTATAGATATATAATATATATCTTGGTCTAACACTGCATAATGTTCCAAATTTGGAACTGTTAAAATATTGACTGGAGTGCATAATGTTCCATATTTGGCACTACAAAAAACGTAACAATTGCATGGTGTTCCAAATTGGGAACAATTTTAAAATGATAATATTCAATACATATTATGACTTAAACTTACTTCTTTTGCCGTAAAAAGCCTGTGGGTCCATTGTTCTATCCGGTAAATCACAATTAATCCTCAGATATTAAGAAAAAAACAATAAAAAATCGTATTGAAAATCTGCTAACTGTCGACCTGTCAAATTTTGGCAACCGACTGACGAAACAGTCGATTTTAGTTCCTAGGCGTCTCTAAAGAGGCGCCACTGTTACATATTTAGGTGAGTTACACTCTCTAGTACGAATTAGTTCCGAGAAAATATTATAGACGCCGCAGGCAGTAATATATTACAACAAAAGTTGAGTGTTCCATATTTGTCACGGTATGCGGTAAAGGGCGACGCATTCATACTGTCACCATAATATAGCTGCATTGCAAATGTTATTCATGTTATATTAAATATAATTTAATAGACTAGCCGCACTAAACTAAGAAGACATTCTCGGAACAGAAAGTTATCATTGCACAATGCCGTATTTCTGTCCTCTACTTCTTCTCTGTATTTTGATATATTTAACGAGTACCTGGCTTTGTACTAAGTACTCATTTATAAATTATTAAAGTAGTTCCTAGTTAATAATAAGTTTATGTACTTTATATGTTCTCTATTTTATATGGACAAGCTACAAAGCTCCAGCTAAATAACACAAATTTAAAATGCCGCCCATTTTGTATCCAATAAGTTGTTATTAGTTTATAGGTTATAGTGTTACATTTCAATTTGTGAACCTAATGTATACTTAGTTTTGGAAAGGTGAAATATAATAAAATAACAAAATACTTAAAATAACATCACTTTTCTAGAGAATATTCATTCTTATCGAAAATAAAATGTGTCATTGAGAGTTCAAGTTGTACCTCCATCTTTAGCTCCCAGGGCACGTGTTTATACTGAGAATCCTTGAGCACTTCAACAGGCTCTATAAGTGGCTCCCACATGGCGCGCCCGATGTTGTAGTACGACACCTGCATCGCCCACGTAGACTCTATGTACAGCTGGAAATTGACAAAATTACCTACTAGCGATCTTTATTGGAAATTTAAGATTCCTAATGAAATTGCTGCCAACAAAACAATAGAGTATAACCTTCGATCAACAATACCAACTAGATAACGATAATACTGTCCGCATGAATATAAACTATGAAAAGACATAAATTAAATAACACTTAGTGTGAAATCAACCTTAAGTAATAACAAAGAAAGTTCTTTTTCCCGTTATTGCCTTGCGATCTACACTCTCACGTGCAAGAGCTCACGTCCCATGTGCGCTCTTATTTACTGAGATGGATTTCTTGCGCCGACCCGACATCTAGTTAGTATTGATGATCGAAGAGTATAACAAAACATTTTATAATGTGCGCCGTATGATGGCTGCTTAAGACCCACTACCCCGTTTCGTCGCGTGGGTGTCGTAACAAGCGACTATGGGAAATGACTATAGCACATTATTGATACCGACCTACTAACATTACGACCCTAGTTTCATCTCACGAGAGATCGTCGTCATGAGAGTTCGATCGAACTAGAGTATTTCATGAGATCAAAAATTATGTATATTACGAAATTATTAAAAAGAAATACGGATTGTAAAGGCGTCACTTACGTAGTCTATTCTAAAACTGGAGGAAAGGAAATTCTAAGAAAATCTTGTAGCTATGTTCAAGGATTGAACATTTTCTGAAAATTTTATTTTCAATATGATCATGGTACCAGGGTGCATCAGCTTATATAGCTGATGCACTCTTTAATTCAATTGCGTTTTTTTTATATAAAGCTGAAGCAAGAAACGAACAAACAGAAAGTGACTCGAGCAGTCGACGAACATATTGACGACGATGCCGCAGCTCCAAGTTACAAAAATTTAAACTATCTGCTAAATTCCATCTTACACTTTAATTATACTTTACCACGCACAACCACATTAAAGTGGAATTTACTATCGCCACAGGTTTTTCCAAGCCCATATGAGTTAGAACATTAAGAATAGCTAGGTGCCATCCCAGAGAAAAAGGTCCGCGCAACCAGCAGGAAAATGAAAATTTCTTTATGGCATTTAAATATGTAAAAATTCAAAGGTCAACATTAGTTATAATGTTGACCTTTGACTTTTTACAACAACAACAACAACAAAGTCTCCACGAAAACGGAACGATATATTTATATAGTCCAAGAGCTAGTGAACCCTCCGAGTAACGGTCTTCCTGTAAGGTTAGAAATTTGTACACTTAGCATTTATAGCATGCTAAGGGCAATAGCCATGACCTGGCAGGCGTCAGCCCTGCACGTCATCAGCCCCTTTATTTTTTGAATTGTAAAATAAATAGATTATAAAAACTGTTTTTCTGTAAGCTTAAAAATTTAATAGGATGTAGTTTATTTATTGTAAATCTTGAAAACAAAAAATTGACAGGCGATTGCAATGAGCAATAGTATGTGACAGGTGAATTGAAAGGAGCGTAGTTGATGAGGTAAAATAAACTTTTCTTTTCCTGTATAGTTGAAATTTGGATATGTTTTTGACTAGACGTTTTAAAATAAATAAGTAAAATGACAGGCGGTTTTAAATAGCATAAGACCTTGAAAGGCAGTGGAAAGCTGCTAAGGGCGTGCGAGTGAGAGGAACGCCTATGGTGCGAGTGAAATTTTGAAGGCAAATGTCAGCAGTGACGAAGTACCAAGACGTTTCGTTGTTGCATTTTCGATAATTCTTCTTACTGCATACATTCAAAAATATCCCAAAAAATTTGGTAGTATTTCCAAAAAAAATATGTCGCTACTAACAGCTACACATCCCTCACGAGTAGATATTATTTTCGACCAATATTTTTCATCGTCTATTAAAGATTATGAACGAGCCAAACGACAAGAAGTACGGAACATAAATTATTTTATTACCGGACCAGAACAAGTTAGACCAGTTGACTTTATGAAAGAACTTCGTAACATACAGTTCAAAAAAGCTTTTGTGGATTTTTTAATTACACACTGGAGCACAAATGAAATGACAGAGTTCATCAGGAACACAATGGTGAACTTAATTTATAAACAATGCCATACTTATAGTGTCTACAATAACTCCGTGATTTTCAATATAAATGATAACTAGCTTGCCAGGCAGACGTTGTCGTGCCCTTTTCAACCACCCTTTGTCATGTGCTATTAAAAATTCTTAAATTCGTAAAAATAATTGTGGGTCACTCATGGGCAAAAAAATATCCTATCTCTCAAGTTGGGCCAAACTGCACACGGTGTGCAAATTTGATTAAAATCGTTTAAGTAGTTTAGGAGTCCATCGCGGACAAACAACGTGACACGTAATTTGTATATATTAAGATTTATCATGAAAAGGCAGACATTTTAATATTAATGCTCGGAAACATGGAAAATTTTCACAATAATAATTTAAAAATTTATATGAAATATGGCACTAATAATTTCAAAAAATGGATAATCATTTCTGAACTGTATACAAAATTGGGACTTTCTATATGCCAAAGCTTATCGGGATTTCATGCATTGACCGGTTGCGATTTTAATCCGTCCTTTTTAAGAATAGGTAAAAAAAGCCATTCCAAAATATTGCAGAAATGTAGGGAGTATCAGAAGAGACAGATGATGATGAAAACAGTAGTAGTGAAGTGTCGGATAATGATGAAGAAAATTAATTTAAAAACTAATGTAGATTACATCAAAACTAATAAAGTATTTATCATTTTTGTTTTTATTTTATATCACTCGCACTATACGCGTTCACGTAACACCTATTACAAGGACGCCCTTAGCAGTATTCCCACCGCCTGTCAAGGTCTTATGCTATTTAAAACCACCTGTCACATTCCTTTACATATTTATTTTAAAATGTTTACTCAAAAACATATCCAAATTTCAACTATACAGGAGAAAGTTTATTTTACCTCATCAAATATGCTCCTTTCAATTCACCTGTCACATACTTTTGCTCATTGCAATCGCCTGTCAATTTTTTTTTAAGATTTACAATAAATAAACTACATCCTATTAAATTTTTAAGCGTACAGAAAAAAAGTTTTTATAATCTATTTATTTTACAATTCAAAAAATAAAGGGGCTGATGACGTGCAGGGCTGACGCTTGCCAGGTCATGACTATTGCCCTTAGCATGCTATAAATGCTAAGTGTACAAAGTTACAGGAAGACCGTTACTCGGAGGGTTCACTGGCTCACAAGCTAATATATCATCTTTAGGTTTTAACTGTGCTTCTAAATAATATTTTGCATTTTATGTATACTTAGTTAAAAAAATAAAATATTTTGTATTTGTAATTGCTGTTTAAACTATACTATGCGATAGCCTTCGATTATAAGGATATTTTTCATGCAATTTTTTGGTAAAAAAAAATCATCTTGTAGAAAATAACAAAATATTTACTTTGTACAATATACTACGAATTACGCTATTTTAAATAGTCCCAAAATAATTTATAAAGTAATAAATATTTGCACACTATTTGAAAATATTATAGAACAATATTTTTAAAAGTACAAAAATAATCGCAAAAATTAGGTAGTCGCTAACACTTTCGATATCGATAGTACACAAGACGACACAAGAAGATGCGCGGGCGACGGGACGTAGGAAGAAACTACGTGGGAGTAGCGCGTCGCCCGTTGCTATGGTTTCGCTTTCCCGTACCTCATACCTCACCGCGCCGACACCTATTATTCGCTTGTGCGCACTTCCATGACTCGTGGCGTAGCCTATATATATATATATATGTGATAAATGACTCACACACATACGAGTATCTATTACAAGTGCTAATAGACTAATATAATAATATTTAATCAATACCTACGAATAAATAATGAATGTAGTAAAATTGACCAGATAAAAACTTAACTTATAATATTGTTTGAAACTACTGTATTAAAAATTTATATAATATTAATCTACTATATTTGTATTAATTTAGCTAAAGTTCATTGTATTAAGTGGTCTAACCTTATCTTTCTTAAAAATGTTAACTTTTATGGCGGTACTCATAAAAAAAATAACTAAGAATTGAATATCAATGTTAACTTTAATATCAAACTAACTTTTCTTGTCGTTATTGTTATTGTGTTTTATCTTTGGTGAATATAAGCCAAATTTAGTGATATATTTTGTGTCACGGAGGAAGGAACTACCGTCTGTGATACAGGTTCGGCCCAGTACAGCCGGCAGTAACAAACCGAAGTAAGCAACTTAAAAATTTTGTAAAATTTGTACATAGCTTATTTTAAAGATATTGTAAAAAACTTATTGTAAAGGAAAGGAATGAATTATGCTAATAAAGTTATTACTATTATATTATTATTTTATTATTATGTTCAACAGTGGACTTTAGTAGGCTGTACAGTAATTTTAAATTAACTATTGAATTATAACAACAAGCACATTGTATTATTAATATTCTGTTGTAGCGGCGCTGTCGTCGCGCCACAATCGAAATACACCGAAGTCTAAATCACGCTATCAACATTCCGAATCAGAAACAGTATATATAGAACATCTCCGAACTATCACATCGGGGTCACCAGGAGTGTTGGCCGCTCCCCGGGTAGAACACCTTGCCCGGCGGGAGATCTCCCCTTTTCCTACCACGGCCACAGTGGTGACACCGACGTGATATGAACACGCAACCAAACAACCTTCGGAAACTTCAAGCTTCATCATCGTCATACCACCACCCCACCCATTCGCTCCCGAGCAGATATCGTCTGCAGTCTTCATATCCTGCAAGCCATCTAGCTTCACAAGGTTCATCGCAGCACTGGAATAATAATGCTTCCTGTTCCTTCAAGCTACTCTCTGCGCCATACAGTGTTCGGCACGGCTCTGAGCCTTAATGCTCGCCTCTGCTTCACGGCACTCTCGCAGATTACTTGCCTTCTTCTCGATTCACCGCAGACTACAAGGCAATCTCCTGGCACTTGCACATTCGTCGACAACTCGACTGCACTATCGACCTCCGGTCTGAGCAGGGGGTGATGTAGCGGCGCTGTCGTCGCGCCACAATCGAAATACACCGAAGTCTAAATCACGCTATCAACATTCCGAATCAGAAACAGTATATATAGAACATCTCCGAACTATCACATGGAGTGTTGGCCGCTCCCCGGGTAGAACACCTTGCCCGGCGGGAGATCTCCCCTTTTCCTACCACGGCCACACTGTCAATGAAATTAGCAAAAAGACATTTCAAGGCTTTTGAACCATGAAGAAAGCAGACTGACGTTCCCGTAATGGTAGATATAATATAATTACACCTTATTAATTTAATTTTAACGCTAATTTAAAATTCCAAAGTATTGCTGCCAAACTTACATCAGAACTCCAGTCCTTAACTTGCGCACTGAGAGAAGCCTGCATGACTAGTACAGAAATGGTTTCGTTACCAATATCCATCTCCAAGGAAACCACAATAGAAGGGCTGGACAATAGGCATATTTCGCCCGTGGGCGGTTTTGCAACTTCATTGTTTGTAACATCATCAATGTTGATTGCTTCCTCCGCTTCCTCTGCATAACAAATATTGCATACCATTTCATAATTTGTTTTAATGTGTAATAAAGAAGAAGACAAAGCGGTTTACCAAAAAAGGCAAGATACATACCCGTTTTCAAGAACCAGTAGGCATTAGGCCGAAATGGTCGAATAGCCCATAGGTTGTCGTACAAAATTGCTTTGTTTTCCTCCTCGACGTTGTCTTCTTCACGGCTCGTCATTGTTGCCACTACGCGATTCAATAGCGCTATTATATCTGTAAAAAATATACATATTATTGCATTCGTTTCAAAAGAGCACATAGAAAAATAGGAAGGCTTGATTGTGAGATTATTAAAACGTAAGAAATTTATAGGTAATTTAATTTTTACAATAATATGAAAATTTCCATGTTGTGGCGAAGAAGTGAATCAATCACCTCATTCAGTTTAACCCATTACTTACGAGAAGCGAGAGCGTAGAGCACCAGCAATAATACGCTAATGAAAAAGTGTAAGTGAGTGAGCGAGCCAGTCAGCAGGCGGAGCGGGCACTGACCGGGAGACACGGTGAGCTTGATGTCGAAGACGGCGAGGTCGAGGTGCGGACCGGCGGCGGGCGGCTGCGAGAGCGCAAGCGACACTTGCCGGGCGCCAGCAGCAGGCGGGGAGGGCACTGACCGGGAGACACGGTGAGCTTGATGTCGGAGACGGCGAGGTCGAGGTGCGGACCGGCAGCGGTCGGCTGCGAGAGCGCCAGTGACACTTGCCGGGCGCCAGCAGCAGGCGGGAAGAGGACACTGACCGGGAGACACGGTGAGCTTGATGTCGGAGACGGCGAGGTCGAGGTGCGGACTAGCGGCGGGCGGCTACGAGAGCGCTAGCGACACGTGCGAGAGCGACAGCGACACGTGCGAGAGCACCAGCGACAATTGCCGAGCGCGCGCGCCAACAGCAGGCGGGGAGGGCACTGACCGCGCGACACGGTGAACTTGATGTCGGAGACGTCGAGGTCGAGGTGCGAGCCGGCGGCGGGCAGCTACGAGAGCGCCAGCGACACTTGGCGGGCGCCAGCAGCAAGCGGGGAGGGCACTGACCGGGCGACACGGTAAACTTGATGTCGGAGACAGCGATGTCGAGGTGCAGGCCGGCGGCGGGCGGCTGCGAGAGCGTCAGAGACACTTGCCAGGCGCCAGCAGCAGGCGGGGAGGGCACTGACCGGGCGACACCGTGAGCTTGATGTCGGAGACGGCGAGGTCGAGTTCCGGGCCGGCGGCGGGCGGCTACGAGAGCGCCAGCGACACGTGCGAGAACGCCAGCTACACTTGCCGGGCGCCAGCAGCAGGCGGTGAGGGCACTGACCGGGCGACACAGTGAGCTTGATGTCGTAGACGGCGAAGTCGAGTTGTGGGCCGGCGTCGGTCGGCTACGAGAGCGCCAGCGACACGTGCGAGAGCGCCAGCGACACTTGCCGGGCGCCAGCAGCAGGCGGGGACGGTACTGACCGGGCGACACGGTGAGCTTGATGTCGGAGACGGCGAGGTCGAGGTGCGGACCAGCACCGGGCGGCTGCGAGAGCGCAAGCGACACGTGCGCGGGCGCCAGCAGCGTGCGCGCGGCGCCGGCGCGGCCCAGCGCGCGTAGCACCAGCTGCAGCCCCGAGATGCCGCCCTCCGCCACCATCCGCTCCGCCGTGCGCCGCACCTTCAGCCGCGCCTCCATCTGCATAGGACACAATCGCGTCTTTACATTTATCTAAATAACTCTTTATCTATCAAAGTGCCGTCCTGCAGTACTAGACATTTCAAAAAACATGGAATTCATTTTTCAAAATTAGTCATTTGTTTATTGATGAGCGTTATGTTTTCATCGCATATGAAAATTCGAGTAATTTTGGAATATAAGTACGAATATAAGAACGCACCACAACTCAACTTCAACTCGGCTGGGCAGCGTTCGGGAAATTACGACATATCTTCTCGTCAGGTATACCTCAATCTCTGAAAACTAAAGTGTACAACCAGTGCGTGTTGCCAGTGATGACTTACGGATCAGAGACGTGGTCCTTCACTGCTGGCCGTATGAGGACGCTCAAGGTCGCTCAGCGAGCTATGGAGAGGGCTATGCTCGGAGTTTCTCTGCGTGATAGACTCAGAAATGAGGATATCCGCAGTAAAACCAGAGTGACCGACATAGCCCAACAGATTAGTAAGCTGAAGTGGCAATGGGCCGGCCATATAGCTCGAAGAACCGATAACCGATGGGGAAGAAAGGTTCTCGAGTGGCAGCCTCGTACCGGTAGGCGTAGTGTAGGGCGACCCCCCACTAGATGGAGTGACGACCTGGTAAGATATGCAGGAAGTCGATGGATGCAGGTGGCTCAGGACCGTGGTTTGTGGCATTACTTGGGGGAGGCCTATGTTCAGCAGTGGACTTGTGAAGGGCTGTGATGATGATGATGAAGAACGCACCACCTGGTTAATGGTTTACCCACTTGCATTCTGAAAATTTCGACCTGAAAAATGAACCAAATGGTGGTCCGAAAACTGGTCGACAATGACAAAGTTGTGAAAGCTGACGATACTCAATCTACGGGAGAATCAACAATAGCTTTCGACGTTAGCATTAAAACAATATTGTTCTATTTACGTCAAATTAGCAAGATAAAAAACTTAACAAATGGGCAATCCACGAACTCAATGATCGCCAGGACGAAAACTCGTCGAAAAGGGGCCTTGAACTGCTCAACAGGCACAAAAACGAAGTAATTTTGAACCGCATTGTTACCTGCGGAGAAAATGGATTCTGTTTTACAACAGCAAGCGCTCAGAAACTGTTTGATGGTCGTGCATCAGTATGATTCATCACAGCTTCTTACCAAACGGGATGAGCATTACTTCAGAAGTGTACTATGAAGAACTGAACATACATAGTACACTTCTGAAGTAATTTCCGATTAGATGCTAAACCACTTGCACATCCACACACAATTAAATATTTCTCCATTTTTTAATGTTTCTTTTTGTCAAAAATTACAAAATTACGAAGCATGAAAATTTTCTCATTAAAAATGAAAAGAAAATTTGTACATTATTCAACTACCTTCATCTACTAGTACTCACAAACAGCTAACTTCGCAATCACTACTCACCGACGTCAGCGCCGCTATATATAGCAATTTTCAAATCTACAATTTTCAAGGACAGGCGGGCTATGCTTTAGTACGTAGTGATCGTTCTCCTGTTCTCTAACCTTCATGGGTAAAACCCTAATGTAAATTATATTAAATATACTCATACCCATGACCGATTCTATTTCTACCGTCCATGTACGGAGTGTCTAATTATTAACGGATAACCTCAAAATCGTTGAAAGCAGAATTAATGGTCGTTCAAAAAAAAATTATCCCACAGATGATTTTTTAATTACTTATGTTTTTTTTAACAAATTTTCAATTATGTGTACATTATACACCATAATCACAAATCTTTGTTTGTTGCTACTATAATTCTTTTGAGCATGTGATGAAACCTACACGACAACGTTTGTATTCAATTATAAGAACAATCTAATTATGAGAATATCTAAGCCGCAGAAAATTTGAACAATAATTATAACAATAAAGGTTTTTAACAATCTATTGCTGCCGCGCTTTGCCCTTATGAAATTATTTATTGCCTTTATGGAATTAGTAACAAAACTATCATTTCGTATTTCCTTATTTCCTCCTACAAAACTGAACGGACCTGACCGGAACCGACCTAGATCGATTTTAATATTTATTTCGAGAACAATATAGGAAGGATTGGTTATGTTATTATTATGTTACTGTGTTCGGTAAATTTGTTCGCTGGATATCGGATATGTATTCAACATTTTCCTAATTTTTATTTAAGGAATTTTATTTTATTTAGAATTGAAAATCAGTGTATCAAGTGTTTCGAGGCATCGCCTAAATTCATGTTTCAAGTTAAAAAAAAAACTCATGGTATAACCTTAAAAATGGACGACAACAAAGTGTGAGCCGTGTCGCACCATCAACTTAGCTAAGCACGTGAAACAACCTAAACTAAACCTGACATGCAACTATACGAGAAATGCATGCCGACGCAAAAGGTTGAATGCAGTCGTGTCATGTCACAGAACAACCACTCTAACCCACATGCTTAAAAGTTTGAACTAAAGAGGAATAAGCTAAGCAAGAAAAATTGCAATGTTAGCAACATGGACATAATTATAGTATCATAAAAAATATGTGCTTGAGTGTCATTGTCAAAGGAGAAAACATAGTAGTATATTTATACTAAACGCAAACTGGATATTCCCTCAAACATTCAGTATAATTTACGTCTCTCCCATTACACCCATATTAAGTCATAACAAATAAATATTTATAACTTACATTTAACACGAGTGCATCGCATTTCTTCTGTTCAAGTGACTCCACAAGAATAATGTCAGGCTGCTCGATCTTTATATTTAAAGTCATCATGGAATTATTTTGAGGCTCTGTTGTTTGGGGTGCAGTCGCAATCGACGCCTTCTTTTTCTGAAATTAAAATTTTAAAAGAATAATTATCAAATGCTTATTGCTATAATATATGCACAATATTAAGAGTACACTTAGACCGTGGAAGGAATTGGGGAGATCTCCCGCCGGATAAAGTGTTCAGCCCGGGGAGTGGACAACACTCCATGTGATACTCTGGGAGCTATTTGACACAGCAGTACTTCGGAACTTTGATAGCGCGATTTAGGCTTCGGTGTGTTTCGCTTGTACCGCGACGACAGCGTCACCACATCACTCCACTGCTCAGACCGGAAGTCGATGGTGCAAGTCCGATTGCCAGTGCGTCGCTAATGCGGTGAGGAATGGATTAGGGCAAGTGACGACGGTGGGAACTATACGCCAGTGTATAAATGCGTGCCGTACTCTATGCACTTGCAAGTGATGCCGGTGAGAACGATGGACCGGAACAAGTGCCAGAAGTCTGCGTTATAAATCTGCGCTGAGTCGAGATGAAGTCAAGTTTGACTGGTTTGCAGGAGCTGAAGAGACAGAAGACGATTCATAATATGAACATTATAAGGTATAGGCAGTTATGGAAACGTCTATTTACCTTATAACATATAGATAGTTATACGTAACTCTCATAACTGTCTATTTCTTATAACGATCCGTAACTTAAAGGTACCTTTAAACCGCAATGCTGCATAGTTGCGCTGGCTGATTTGTAATTGGACGGATCGTGATATTATTATAACATCACCCACTTTCTGTTGAGCAAAGCGAAATTCGAGAAATATGTTTATTTCTTTCTTTTTCATGTAGATACTTGTATAACTATTTCAAAATGAATGTGTCTCTAATAAAGCAATTTTAAACCTCGTGTTGTTCATTATAAAATCTACACAGTAATACGGTTTTTGCCATATTTGGGAAAAAAAAACACTTTTCCCCAAAATGTAAGGATTAAACTACATTAAAAACCTTGACCTTGTTATGAAGAAATATTATTATTATTGACCTTCTGTCCTTCAACTTTTGAACTTAAGTTTTTATATTAATTGTCTGCAATTATAAATTTTGGGTGTAATAATATAATTTTAAAACTACTTTTTTGTTTTCCACTTTTATTTTGTGTTAATAAAAGAAGTAGGTACCTACTTATCTAAAAATAAACAAAAAAACATTGTAAATACTGATTTGATTAAGTGATTGTAAATATATTGTACTTATTAGATACATTATAAGATATACTTTAGTTTTAAGACGACTTCAGGTAATCTGAAGTCAAAAGTGTAGTTAGAACAGCAAACGATTGCCAGATCTTCGAGACTTGTGAACGTTGGGTGTTTCAGCCCTTGCGTGAAGCACTAACTCATTAAGGGGATATAGTAAGTCAGCTCAAATTCTATAATTCTATTCTTTCGCCCCCACTTCCCTGCGCGTCGTATGCTATGATGTACCGACATGTTTGTAATCACTAATACTTTAAGTAGATAGATCGTTGGATACTTATTTCATGAGGTTTATCATATTTATGCCTGTTTCTTAACGCCAACCCAGTCTCTTCTTATTTTTATCACGGTTATTTCAAATTTTAATTTTACGTCGTCCTGTTGCGTTCAATGCACATTGTATTCTGATCGTAAGCGACACAACCTCCCCCTTCAAAGGCCGGAGCGAAACTGACCGGGCGGCAGGAATCAAGTTTAATTACGCCGATAGTTTAGGTAATTTCTTTTCACAGTGAAAATAATGGTATTTAAAAAAAAGTAAATAACATAAGCACTGCTTTATAGTTAGTTCAGTTAGTATGCAAAGTTTCATGATCTTATTTAAAATATTTTACGAATAACAGCGGTTTATTGTTTATTTTGAAGGTAACTTTGGATTTTTTTTCTATCGAGAAAATTTTACGGAATCGTGTTTTCGTCTAACATAGTCCTTAACATTAATCCTCAACTTTACCATATATTTATTTCAAAATTAATACTGCAATATTTTCGGCATAACGGAGGATCTTGCTAAGCCATTTGAGGTCATGTCAAACCCAACCCCCGTGGCAGCAACTGTACCGTAGTCTCAACCAGAACCAGGAAAAATGGATGCTTTTATTGCCAGAAAGATGTCCAAAGATCAAAAGAACGAAGGAATGTTCATTTCAGCAAGTATGTTGGTATATACATCTCAACAGTTTACATCACGAACCAAAATAATTTTGTTGATAACTGTTCTATGACTAGGTATATTGTTATATTGCCGTTACACGGAAAATAGACAGTTATGAATATAGATAGTTATGATAACGTTATCCGTTGTACCATAACAACAACGTTACGTTATCTATAAGACACATAACGACCCACCGCTACTTAAGAACGATAACGAAAGTTTGAAAGTTGAGGTTTTCGAAATTTTGAAGGTTGCAATTTAAATCACGTGAACGCCGCCATCACTAGTTTGGCCGTGGAAGGAAAAGGTTAAGATCCCCCGCCGGGCAAGGTGTTCATCAGCCCGGGGAGCGACCATCGATCCATGTGATGGTTTGACGCTACTCTATATATGTATACCGCAGTACTTCGGAACTTTGATAGCGCGATTTCGGCTTGGGTGTGTTACGCTTGTAGCGCGACAACAGCGACGCCATAACGCATTTAATAATTACAAAACTGTTATTTACTATATGGCTCAGGCGACTTTTTGTCAATTTTTTCTGACCAAGGCCTCAGAACGAATAGATAGAGGGAGTGCAACGTACATTTTTCAAGTAAAGCAGAAACCATGATATTCAACTTCTTAACACGCACTCACTCACACATCGTTCTTCTTTCTTTCTTTAGCACAGCTCGTAATTCAGTTCATTGATGGGCGCACACAAACATATATAACTTAAACTATGTTGGTTTGTTACCAACATAGTTTAAGTTATATATGTTTGTGTTGTGTTTGTGTGTACATGTTCATACAATAAGTTGTGCGTGATTTTGCGACACTTAAAATTTACATAGCGCTCCGTCGTTTTTTTAATTCTTTGTTAGTTGGGTCAAAATTGAAAAAATTATCCATACCTGCCCACACTGGTGAGCAGCCTACCAGAAGAGGATATCAGTTCCGGCTTACCAACAAGCTCTCCCATGTATGAATATGTACATACTTTTAAACAAATATGCATCTACTGGTACAGTAAGAGGAAATATAACTAAAAATATAAATATAAATAACCTTGATTAAGAATCAAAATACAATTGCGTTTCACCCTAGAGGACTAAAATGGAATACCTCGTTTCCCGTAAAAAATAAAGGGTCTTGTAGCAGCCAGATTAATCAAACCTAAACGGGAATAAATAATATATACTCCGCTGCTACCATAACGCGGAAGGCGAGAATAAATAAAAAAACATTTTATTTCCTAATTATTCTTGGCTACTGGGATACTGCGGACTGTATATAGATAATTTGACGTTCTTATAAAGAAACAAGAAGCAGCCGCAAATATCATTCAGCGCCACACCGACTTCACACGCCGCTATCGTCACGTATCCTTCCCCCTCGGTGTTCGTACGCCGGGTCCCACTATTACAGTGGTGACCCCGTACGAACACCGAGGGGGAAGATCCGGTACGAACACCAAGAAGGAACACCCTGCGACGTACCACTACTATTGCACGAACACCGCGAAGGAAACCCGTACGAACACCGAGAAGGAAGACTTCAGTTTATATAAAATCAGTGTAATCAAGCCGTCATTATGGAGCAGGAGGCAAACACATATACATCAAACCCGGTAAAGGAACCAGAAATCGCCGGTATATCTCTATCGTTAAGAATACCACCGTTTTGGAGAGACAAACCACGACTTTGGTTCGTCAGTTTTGAAGCCGCAACGAATGGTTTAAAGAAGAGCCAAGCGCAATTAGCACAGATGGTGATAGCCCAACTTGAGAAACAAGACATCGAACAAATTGCGGACCTGTTGTATACAACCCACCAGCAGTCGACCAGTATAATTCACTGAAGGATCGTCTGATCTCCGCATATGAAGAATCCGACAGTCGACAGCTACAAAAACTTCTATCAGAAATAGAACTTGGAGACCAGAAACCCACACAACTCCTACGCAAAATGCGTACTTTGGCGCGAGATAAAGTTCCGGATTCAACACTACGGCTAATGTGGGTAAACCACCTACCACCACATATTCGATCGGTAATAGCAGTCAGCGAAACATTCAGCACGCAGACGAAGCTCGACGAACTGGCACTCCTGGCGGACAAGATGATCGAAAACAGCAGTAGCTCACACATATCGATCATCGAAGGCACTTCAACAAAGGCCAATGATACCCAGTTTCTTCTCGAAGAAATTCGGAAGCTATCATTCGAAGTCGCCGCGCTCAAAGCTTCCCAGCATCATACCTTTTACCAGCAACAGTACAACCAGCGCAATCAGCAACACCGAAGATCACCTTTTCGTCGCAACCGCTCTGCAAGTAGAAGTCGAATAAGCTCAACATCAAGATCCCCTTACTGCTACTATCATCGACGTTTCGGGGTCGAGGCAAGAAAATGCACAGCACCGTGTACATTCAAAAATGAAAATACGAATACGGAAAACTAACTAGTACGCTCGATGCGACGGGATCCAGCGTAACAGCAAAGTCCTACCGTCTTTTCGTCACCGATAAAAAAAGCAAGCTCACTTTCCTTATCGACACCGGAGCAAATATCTCAGTGTTACCGCCGAAGCAAGGACAGAAGTTGAAGCCACTAGATTTTCAACTCTATGCAGCAAACAATACGGTTATTCCTACATATGGAGAAAAAACAATGGAACTTGATTTTAATCTACGCCGACCATTCAAATGGAGATTTATCGTCGCTAAAGTCAGCAAACCAATCATCGGTGCTGATTTTCTTCAACATCACCAGTTGGTCGTCGACATCAAAAATAGAAGAATCATCGACGGGAAAACCAATCTTGCATCTCAGTCTTTTGTACAAGCAACCAATCTGCCCACAATAAGAAGCATAGATGTGCAACAACCGTATCACAAGATCCTCGAAGAATACCCTGGTATCACAAGAATAACTTCAATGAAATTAACACCGAAGAACGACGTTGAGCATTTCATCGACACCAATGGACCACCACTTCATTGTCGTGCACGTCCAATCGCACCACACCTATACGAGCAAGTTCGAAAGGAATTCGAAAACATGATTGAGCAAGGAATATGCCGTCCAAGCAAAAGCCCTTGGTCATCACCACTTCACATTGTACCGAAGAAGAACGGAGAATTACGAGTTTGTGGAGATTACAGAAGACTGAATTCTATTACCACTCCTGACCGCTACCCAATACCGCGAGTCAGGGATTTCACTCATCAACTATCAGACAAGACTATATTCTCCACCATCGATCTCAACCGAGCTTACCAACAAATAAGAGTCCGCGATGAAGACATAGAGAAGACAGCAATAATTACCCCAATGGGATTATTCGAATTCCCAAGAATGATCCCAGGATTAAAGAACGGAGGTCAAACTTTCCAAAGATTCATACACGAAGTACTTCATGGACTGGATTTCGTTTTCGCATTTATTGATGATCTCCTTGTTGCAAGCCCTGATAAAGAAACGCACGAAACCCATCTACGCACCGTGCTACAGCGATTAGAAGACAACGGAATCACAATCAACCCTTCGAAATGCATATTTGGACAGCAAGAAGTTCAATTTCTTGGTTTCACCGTCAGCAAGGAAGGAATAAAACCGCCTGCCGAAAAAGTCAGAGCAATCATCGATTATGCAAAACCTAAAACTATCGAAGAGCTAAGGCGTTTTCTTGGGATGATAAATTTTTACAGAGAACACATACCTAAAGCCGCTGAAATCCAAGCACCACTTCACGCCTACCTTCACAACACGAAGAAAAAAGATAAAACGTCAATCGAATGGAACGATGAAGCCACGAAGGCATTTGAAGCTTGTAAAATTGCGATCCAAAATGCAGCTTTACTCGCTCACCCATCACACGAAGCAACCCTTGCTATCTTCAGCGACGCATCCGATCTCTCAGCAGGAGCAGTTCTCCAACAATACAGCAATGGGAAATGGCAACCACTTGGATATTTTTCGAAGAAGTTCTCCGATACTCAACGTAACTACAGTACATTCGACCGAGAGCTACTCGCTATTTACATGGCTATCAAGCACTTCAGAAAAACGTTCGAGGGTCGAAACCTGATCGTTTTTACCGACCACAAACCATTAACATATGTACTTCCAAAGAAACCATCACTATCGGAAACACCACGAAGAGCAAGACAACTTATTTTCATAAGTGAATTCACGACCGACATACGTCACATCAGTGGAAAGGACAACATAGTTGCCGACGCACTCAGTCGCGTACCAATCGACAGTGTAACGTGCCCTACATCAATCGACTATCATAAGATCGCCGCAGCACAAGACAGAGATAGTGACAACATAAAACATCTATCGAAGCAAGGTAACTTGTCCATCAAGCAAGTTACAATGCCAATGACGCATCTACCTATATACTGTGAAGCCTCAACGACAACCATGCGACCATACATACCAGAAGAATGTCGTCGCGAAGTCTTCAATGCACTGCACAACATTAGTCATCCAGGTGTTAGAACAACAAGAAAACTCATCACTGAAAAATTCTTTTGGCCTGCAATGCAAGCGGATGTCGGCAACTGGGCGAAGCAATGCATTCAATGCCAAAAATGCAAAGTACAAAGGCATACATCAAGTAGTCTAGCTACATTTCCACCCACGGAGAGATTCGAACACTTGCACGTTGACATCGTTGGACCATTACCTACTTCACCGCAAGGACATCGTTATCTCGTAACAATGATCGACAGAACAACAAGATGGCCAGAAGCAATACCTACCGATGATACTTCAGCCGAATCCGTCGCGAAGATAATTTATGAAAATTGGATTACTCGTTTCGGATCACCTAAAACCATCACAACGGATCAAGGAAGGAATTTCGAAAGCAACCTATTCCTCAAACTTCTTCAAACTATGGGAATACAGAAGACGCGTACAACAGCATACCATCCTCAGTCAAACGGAATAATCGAACGATGGCATCGTACATTAAAGACTGCACTCAAAACTCGTTTATCTCAACATACAAAGTGGATTGATGAGCTACCTACAGTGCTACTCGGACTACGAGCAACACCGCGTGCAGACACTAGTCTTAGCGCCGCTCAGCTAACCTACGGCTGCAGCATAAGGCTGCCGTGTGACTTCTTCAGTTCAGCAGCGTCAAACAAACAAGAAATGGATTACGATTTCGTAACTAAACTTCGAGAATCAATTAACAAAGCCTTATCGTTGAAATGCACCGAAATGCAATCACACAGAAATAATAAATCAGTATTCATTCACCAAGATTTGAAAACATGCAAACAAGTTTTTGTAAGAAACGACGCAATGAAAAAACAATTTCAACCTACCTACGATGGACCGTATAAAGTATTAGAGAGAAATAGCAAGACTTTTAAACTACAAATACCCGGAAGGAAATCTACGATTATATCGATCGACCGACTAAAGCCTGCCTATATTATTAACGAGGATACTGCAGAGGATTCATCATCATCATCAAAACCACCAGCGAGGAAGCTTGAAACTTCATCATCTACATCAACCCAGTTGAAACCTATTTTAAAAACTACGCAATACGGGCGAGTCGTCAAGCCTCCGGTACGCTTTCGCTGGGGGGAGAGTGATGTAGCAGCCAGATTAATCAAACCTAAACGGGAATAAATAATATATACTCCGCTGCTACCATAACGCGGAAGGCGAGAATAAATAAAAAAACATTTTATTTCCTAATTATTCTTGGCTACTGGGATACTGCGGACTGTATATAGATAATTTGACGTTCTTATAAAGAAACAAGAAGCAGCCGCAAATATCATTCAGCGCCACACCGACTTCACACGCCGCTATCGTCACGTATCCGTCGACCAATGGTGAGCCGTTTCTTCAACGCCGCAGTTCGTTTCCTCTTGCTGTTCCGGAGCTGTATTCCACACCGCCGCCGCCCGCCGACTACGCGTGCGCACCGATCTGCATGTCTTATATAGCCCGGTCCAGCGACGTAGCTTCGTGAACAACAAACAAGTCTCACGCCGGGAAACGAAACGTAGATAATTGTATATTTTAAATAGTTTTCATTGGTCATAAAATAAGCAATATAATTGGCTAGGCAAAATATTAATTGTTACCATTGGCAAATCAATAGTGAGCCAGCCATATAAATATAGGCAAGGTTGATGCAAAATATATTCCATTCCGAATCCCATTCGACAGTACATTCATAAACATAAACAGTAGTTTCATTTCTCCACCTTAAAGAAAACCACTCGGAGTCTGTTAATAGTGGACAGTTCGTCTCCACTATTACAGTCTCCTCTCGTTTCCAAGAAAAAATGGGTCGCCGATTCTCCACAATCATCATACGAAACACTAACATGAATATTTTAAGCTGGCATCCTATGAAAACATGGTCCTTCTCCGGTTGAGCCGATACATTCGTACTACAACCATAATATATCCACAGCATAACCTACCACATATAAAATATCTAGGTGCAGGTTTGAAAAGAGATTGACCATAAAGAGAAACCAACTAAACCTAACTAGTAACTAAATGATTAACTTGTATTTCTTTTAATATAAATATTAATTATGTATGAATACACAATAAAAAAACTTACAGTGTCAGCAGACTTATCTACGCTAGGTTTGATGACTTCAACTTCATCCGTAGGCGTCTCAGGTGCGTCTACAGCGAGACCGGTGGTCATGAACTCTGCGATTTTGTTCAGAAAATCCATCGCCAAAATAAGATTGAAACTGAATATTCGCATATCGACTGAAAAAAATGTATACATATCAACTGATTTAATCGATGTATGTAGATATTTAATTGTATTAGGTAACTGTATATTACGTTAAAAAAGGATTTTATTTCCTTTACACAAAAGGAATGGCCAAGGCCAAGCGTGAGTAGGACTACAAGTTTGTCTTAAAGTTTGTCTGTGTAATTAGAAGTAAGAAAGTCCCTAACTCTCCTAACTCAGAATATGTAACGTCTGTAAAATAGATGATAGTTATTCTGCCATGCACTGGATTCCATTAAATTTTCGTGCCATTCCCCAGTGTAAATTTCAGCTACAAAGCTAAATGTGGGATAATTTCTCTAACACCATACAACCAAACGGTTCTGTGACTGACTTTGTGACTGCCTCGTTGGTCTAGTGGTTGTATTACTGCGACTGCTAACCATGAGGTCCTGAGTTCGAATCCCCGGTTGGGCCGAAAAATAGATGATAGTTATTCTGCCATGCACTGGATTCCATTAAATTTTCGTGTCATTCCCCAGTGTAAACTTCAGCTACAAAGCTAAATGTGGGATAATTTCTCTAATACCATACAACCTTACGGTTCAGTGACTCTGTGACTTTGTGACTGCCTCGTTGGTCTAGTGGTTGTATTAGTGCGACTGCTAACCATGAGGTCCTGAGTTCGAATCCCCGGTCGGGCCAAAAAATAGATGATAGTTATTCTGCCATGCACTGGATTCCATTAAATTTTCGTGCCATTCCCCAGTGTAAATTTCAGCTACAAAGCTAAATGTGGGATAATTTCTCTAACACCATACAACCTAACGGTTCAGTGACTCTGTGACTTTGTGACTGCCTCGTTGGTCTAGTGGTTGTATTAGTGCGACTGCTAACCATGAGGTCCTGAGTTCGAATCCCCGGTCGGGCCAAAAAATAGATGATAGTTATTCTGCCATGCACTGGATTCCATTAAATTTTCGTGCCATTCCCCAGTGTAAATTTCAGCTACAAAGCTAAATGTGGGATAATTTCTCTAACACCATACAACCTAACGGTTCAGTGACTCTGTGACTTTGTGACTGCCTCGTTGGTCTAGTGGTTGTATTAGTGCGACTGCTAACCATGAGGTCCTGAGTTCGAATCCCCGGTCGGGCCAAAAAATCAATTATTGAGTTTTTCCGTCAAGAAATTGTCAGTCGCTGCCCGGAGTCAGGAAGTTGGCGGTGTCTCACCCCCGTGCCTCGGAAAGCACGTAAAGCCGTTGGTCCTGCGCCTGATCTCCCTCCGGTCGTGTCGGTTTACTCGTTGTTTTGTTGTCGTCCCATCGGATTATGAGAGTGAGGGAATAGAGAGTGCACCTATGCTTGCGCATACACTTGGGCACTATAATCCTGTCCTGCACCGATGGCTAGACTCTGTTGAGGCTGGCCACCGTGACCGAAATTCAGTCTGGAGGCCAGTATTATTATTATTATCAGTATAATAATACGTTCATGTTGCTGCTACTAGGGCACTTGACTGTTTTATATGATCATCAGAAAGCAATGCGCTTTTTAACTAAATTGCTATCGCTCCAGCACAAACAGCATCCTGAGCGTATGCCAACGTGTGGGACTCGCTGATGCTGTGGCGCTGGATGCGTCCGTGTATCGTTAAAGCAGTGTAGGGTATGCCAAGGATTAGTTACTCGTCTGTACTATTATAGTATTATTATTATTTATTTATTTTTTTGATTTAATTGACAGAATTTCATTCAGTTACAACTGTTACTAAAAACTACTAAAGTAAATAAATTCATTAATTCAATCGCAACATTTTAATTTAAACTTACTAAATGTATCAGAATTCTTCATAGTATATGTAATGTCAATCATGCTGCGTATCTTATCATGGGCCTCCATGATGGAGTCTGCATCTTCGGTTTGGTCTACTAGTGGTTCCTTTTTATCACGCCGACGCTCAAGATACCTTTATAGGAGAAAATAAAAATGTCACTAGCAAACATAGACAAAGTTCAATCTTTCCAGTGTTTAAATCAAATGTGTAAAAAATAAAATAAAAACAATCAGCGTTCAAGAAAACACATTCGATATAAAACCTAAACTGCCTTGAAAACTGCATTAAATTAATGTAATAAATGTCAGAATTTTTTTTTATATTTAGCCATGTTGTAAGCTCTTATAAACGCAATATCACTAAACCTGTTCCAAAAAACAACATCTTACCACCTTAAACATAAAACCGTATCAGAGAAACCTCAAGAATGAAACTAAGACTTGTTTTTAACTTTTAACAAAAATCAATACAATATCAAATATAGTCAGGTGAAATAAAAATAACACAGTTTCTTGCCAGACATAAAAAGCGGTTTTTATGAAGAAGTTGTTTGTCCTACTTTTGAGGTATAAATTATATTGGTATAACGCTAAAATAAACTTTAAAATAATTATGAAGCTTTTCAAAACTGTAATACTGAGCAAAATGTAAAACAGGAAAAACTGTTAGAGAGATTGTCCACCGCCGCCGTCACCGGGAGGTCAACGAGAAAGAGATGACGGCACCGAGGTAGCGACACATACATTTATTATAGCCGCCTCAACCGCAAGCCATCCCGGCCTCAGAGGTTTAGAGTAAGATAGAAGTTTAGAGTAAGAAAGAAGTTTCGAGTAAGATAGAAGTTTAGATTAATATAGAAGTTTAGAGTAAGATAGAGGTTTAGATTAAGATAGAAGTTTAGAGTAAGATAGAAGTTTAGAGTAAGATAGAAGTTTAGAGTAAGATAGAAGTTTAAAGTAAGATAGAAGTTTAGAGTAAGATAGAAGTTTAGAGTAAGATAGAAGTTTAAAGTAAGATAGAAGTTTAGAGTAAGATAGAAGTTTAGAGTAAGATAGAAGTTTAAAGTAAGACGCAAGAAGATCGGCACGACCGCTAGAACTCGGCCCGAGATTGTGACGTGTCGATGTACCGGCAATACAAAGCACGTTTAATCCATCCACACCGACGCAGGAACGTCGCACCGCGCCGACGCACGACAGATGCATTTAACTAACTGAACCACAGAGATCGTCGCGGTGAACAAACGATCGCTGTCACCTTATCTTGATCGCTGCCAGACATAATCTCGTTCTCGTTGACATCCCGGTGACGGCAGCGGCGGACAATCGCCCTTAATCTTCCCCCGCCACCTGGGATAAGACTATCAGTAATGTTTTTACTTTAACGTACGTACTTTATGTAGTTTCTGGAGAAAAATCGTAAATGAAAACAGTAGTAAATGGTAACAGTAGTGATTTTGCATCTTATGTATAATGTAAAATGTTACCCTTGTAAAAATATAAATAAGGGGAAGACTAACATACAATCAAAATCAGTGGTACCAAGTATTTTTTGTACTTGTAAAATATACACTACAATTCCAACTCTTTATTGCTATACTCTTAAATTTCCTGCAAAGTAATAAAATAAAAAGCTTTTAACTTTAAAAAACAATAAGAGATCCAACAAATATAATTATCTCAGACATTTTTGTACAATACATATAACACAAATACCGTGTAATCTTCGCGCCTCGTCCAGGCCTAGTGTCGTCCAGAGTGCAGTCGACCAGCAGAACGGAGGTGTGCATGGAACCGTCAGAGAACATCCGTCCTTTCACTGAGAGCAGTGCGAGACAGAAGCGAGCCAGATCCACATCGTTACCGATCAATGTGCTATCCAACTAAAAATAATAGGATGAAAACACCTTATTAGTATTAATGTTAAATAATTGAATTTAGTTTGTTTAGTTCATTTAGTTTATTAGTTAGTGGTCATCCACGGGCTGTGTTTCAAATTCAAAGTACTAACAGTAGCTGGAGAAGATATTATTATAGAGCCACTTGTGTGATCACTAACACTAAATTGTAACGCTCATGCGATAAGATTGTAAGTAGGTTTGTCTAACTAGTAATTAATAGTAGTTTGTCGAAATGTAATTCTACAATCGAGAAGAATGTTTATGAGGAACTTATAACAAAAAAGAATGTGCCAACTGTGTTTTGACCAGTAATATTTATTATTAGTACATGATATTGTGTTTGTGATTTTGTAGATAGGTTTTTTTTTTTAATACTTTTTAAATTTATATGCTTGCAGTGTTATCTTTTGTATATTTTGTTTAGTAAATCTACTTATAATAATGAAATAATCTATATAATCTATTACCCAACTGCTTGCATTATAGTAATGTCAGCTTATAATAACAGCATACAGCTGCCGTGCTTTGTATGATGAGTGATGAGAACCAAGACACTGTTTATAGGTAATGAGGTAATGAGGCATTTTATTTCAGTGCTAATGACTTAGGTCGACAAAAAAATTGAGTGTCCGCAACTGATGTCTTCAGAGATAAAAACGCGGACCTAAACAATTATTTTGTATGGCCTACAAATAGTTGTACCGAGTGTGGATTTTTGCTGTAATTACTGAACTCCACATGATACAGGAGAAATTTTTTTGTAGAAATACTAAAAATAATGATGATGATGACTTTGAATGATGTAATTGCGCACTACTTGCTCCTGTGTTTGTTGAAAATATATACTGTATTAATCTCATTTTAATCGGCATTTTCACTCGCCCCGCACGTAAAACTTTATCTTTTATTTTCTCCACCAGAAGGAGATTTTGCTAAGATCAAAGAATAATATTTACTTTGATCATAATAATCGTAAGGCATGAAATGAATCAATGTAGTCAGGTTTTGGAATATATAATTCTTATAAGAATTATTTATTGAAATAAACTGTGAAGTGTTGTACAGCACCTTCAGATTTTTTTATTATTCATATTTAGGTTTAAACATCGGACTAAAGAGTAATATTTAACCTAAGTCTGCCCCGTATCATTTTATTATAGAATAAGGGTGACAAACGAGCACACAGTTCACCTGATGGTAAGTTGACGCTGTGGCCCTTAGACATTTACATTTATCTTCAATTAAGAATCAAAATGGTATTGCATTGCCAGCCCTTAGGACTTAGATGGAATGCCTCGTTTCCAGTAAAAAGGGTCTCCGGTTCGCCACCATACGAAACACAGCAACATTAAGATGCTATTTTACACTGGTATTTAGTGAAAGCATGGTCCTATCCCGGTTGAGCCGACCCATTCGTGCTGCAACCAGAATATAGCGGCAGCATGACGCTATCACGTAAAGAAATCATAGCACCCGAAACGTCGTAAATTAAAACAAGATAATTTAAACGTGATGAATACCGTAATATTAGTTTTATTTCAATGTGTAGTATTCATTTAAATTTAGAAACCATTAAATAAATGTTTTTATTTCTTTTTTGCAATTTAAAATGTAACATTGAGTATATATATATATTATGTATATTTGACGACTCCGTGGCGCAGTGGCTTAGCAATGAGTGGCTGCGTTGGGGGTAGCGGGTTCGAATCCCGCACGAAAGTATTTATATGAGCTACAAATAATTGTTCCGGGTCTGGATGTTTGTTCTTCGGCAATTTATGTTTGTAAACTGCCCCCACGATAAAGGAGAAAATCCTAGTGTAGGGGTAACGTTTTATTAAAAAAATATATATTATAGATTATAGTAATAATGTTCATAAATGTTTAATCAAAATTGAAATCGAAAATATACTCACATCTATAGTATTCTTAAGATCAATGACGAAGCTGTCCATAGTAAAGGCGAACTTTATAGTCGTCCTTGGTTTCTTGTCTTCCGTGGGTGTTGCAGGAGTTGAAGATGCTTTAACTTGCACTTTGCTAATTTGAGTTTTGACTGCTGCTTTAGATGTAGCCTTTGGCACATTCTGAGCTGCTTTGGTCTCTTCTGCTTTCTTCTGGCCCTCTTGTAGATTTTGATTTAATATTTTCATTATGCTTTTGTAATCGCTGTGGCCTACCGTGATCTGTAATAATCACTTTGATTTATTTATAAATACGAAACATAAAACAACAAAATTAGTTTTACCATATAATTTAAAAGTAGATAAGTAAGCGCGCAAATTTGCTTTATGATAGCTTAATGATAACGACTTCTGTGTATATATTCCGCCTTACAAGTAAGGCGGAATATATACACAAAAGTCGTTTATTATCCCTTACTTTACTTTTAATTACCTCTATATCTGTATCATCTCTCTATTGTCATTAACTAAAGCGAGGGAGAACAACTTTAAGCATTTTTAAGTCTCCATATGTCTTTAAATAAAGATACAAAATTAAACTGTTAAAAAAAGCAAAACTTTAAACTTGAAAATAACTTAAATTATGACATTCATAGAAGTAATCCCAGAGTGATCTAAATCAATTAAGAAAACAAACACTTCTCTTTCTATTTTTAACACTTCCTTCCATTAAGTTTAAAAATGTTGGATATTATCAACGAGCGCAAACTTCTTTTATAAAAACTACTCACAGCTATCGTCTTCATCCTTCCGGAAATGTCTAAATCGGGCAATGTTTCATACCACTGCGACAGGCTACGTTTAACGAACAACTTAAAACTGGTCGGTCGCAACAGCTTCCGTTCGGAAGCTACATCCTGGTAGTTGTCCTTGAGCACAACACACGATAGTTTCATATCTTCAAGTTCGAGCGTTAGTTCGTCTACTGTCACTTTGTTGCTCACGTCCTGTAAGAAAATAATTAAAAAATAAAATACCTATGTATTTAACGTAACATGAAAGTATTAAAAAGCAAAAGAAACTATTTTAGTCCTATATTTAAAAACTAAAATGAAACCGTTTTACATAATCATTTTTTATATCAACGCGAATACTATACACGGAATTAAACTAATTTTGCGTATTTTATCGCGTTTAATTATAACTTCTTAAAAATTCCTCCACTATATCCAATAGTGAGCCAAATTGATTCACCAACGTGTAAATAAACTCAACACTTGGCAAAAATACTGTCACCTGAGATGACACACAAGATCACATACAAAGGATTCATACCATATTTTTAGTGAGTTAAAAGACTCGATATCTTACTGACATGAAACTGTGGTCAGTTTTGATGTCCAGTCACTATTTACATGCCTACTTATTGAAGAATGCATCTCAATTGTAACTAAGAAGCTAGAACAAAACAACATGCCCACAGAATATGCCGTATTCCTCAGACATTGTCTCACAACTGGCTATATATTGTAGGAGTTCTTCAAGCAAGTAGATAGTGTGGCAAAGAGCTCACATTATCTCCCATTGCCGCTGATCCCCCCCCCCCATGACCATGATTGCTTGAAATGTTGGCATTTTATAAAGTAAAATTTAACGCGATAAAATCGCGCCACAAGGTGTCACGTAGTACTTTAATTTTAGAAAAAGAATTAAAGTTCCACGCTAAAAACTTAAAAATCTTGAAATGTAATTGTAATAAACTGTAGACGGACGAAGTCGCGGGGAACGGCTAGTGGGTTAATGATGGTAATAGTAGCGCGGGACTGACAGCGACGGGCAGGTCAACAAAGTTGTTGTTGAGCGTCATGCGGCCGAGGTCGATGAGCAGCGCGTGGCGGCTGGTGGAGTTCTCGGGCACAACGACGATGGGTGCGGCCAGGCGCACGCGCAGCGCCAGCTTGGTCAGGTTCTGGTACGCGCTCGCCACGTTGGCGCGCGCCGCGTCCGCCGCCTGCGACCCAGCTTCGATGATCGCCGCTTGCGCGCTTTGGAAGTTATTCATGAACTCCTGAATCAAACAAATATACGCATATGTTGTTCCAATTGGCCCTTGAAGCATTAGTCAAATTGTTTATACAATTTTATTTACTTATTTATCATGTAGATCTATACTGAATAAAGACTTTCATGGACTTTTAATTTTCTAAATACTTTGTAGTAGCGCCGTGTAGTGGCGGTTGAGAATATCCACTACCCCATATCTTCCCGTGGGTGTCGTAGGAGGCGACAGAGGGACACAGAAAGGAGATGGGCAGCATCTTCCCTAATAACAACAATAACATAATAAAAAACTGCGGTTGCCAAACCGCTCGCCAAGCGTGGCAACTATGGCAAATATCCCCCCATGAGCAACGACACAAATAAACGGCCCCCGGTGGCGACCATGGTAACGGCGGGGCAGGGGTGCTAAGAATCTCCAGTGGAGGTTCGGTTGCCACCTACGACGACTCGACCTGGCAACGTATAACGCACGCACCCTGAGGACTGACGAGAAGATACTGGAGCTGGAAGAAGAGGTAGACAAGTTGCGCTGGCATATTATTGGATTATCTGAGGTCCGAAGAGAGGGGGAGGACACGGTAATCCTCGAGTCCGGCAACTTGTTCTATCACCGGGAGGGCGACCATCTGTCCCAAGGAGGTGTCGGATTTATCGTCCACAAGTCTCTCGTCAATAACCTTGTAAAGATTGGGAGTGTGTCGACGAGGGTCGCGTACCTGATACCCAGAATCACCAAACGGTATTCGCTGAAGGTCATACAGGTCTACGCACCAACCTCGGCACATCCCGATGAGGAGGTGGACGAAATGTATGAGGATATTTCTAGAGCCATGCATTCCTCCAAAACCCACTACACGGTGATGATGGGAGACTTCAACGCAAAACTAGGCACAAGAGAAGGCGGTGAGCTGTAGTTAGGGAAATTTGGAGTAGGGCAACGGAACCGTAGGGGCCAGCAGCTGGCTGACTTTATGGAGAAAGAGGGACTCTTTATGATGAACTCTTTCTTCCAGAAGCGGCCCCACAGGAAGTGAACCTGGTCGAGCCCCGACGGTTCGACAAAAAATGAGATTGACTTCATTATGACGACCAGACGCCAACTGTTCAGTGATGTCTCAGTGATCGCAAGGGTGAAAACCGGCAGCGATCACCGAATGGTTAGAGGCACACTGAACCTTAACGTTAAGTTGGAGAGGTCTCGTCTAATGAAGTCAACGCTCCGTCCCCCTCGTGCTCTAATCCAGAATCCCGAGACTTTTCAGCTCGAGTTACGTAACCGCTTTCAGTGCCTAGAAGATTGCAATGCAGTGGGCGATATGAATGACAAGCTCGTGGAAACTGTCCATGCGGTCGGAGCTAAGTTCTGCAAGACCCGCCGCAGAAGAACACAAAAACTCTCCGATCACACTCTTAATCTCATGGCTGTTAGACGGGAGATGAGTCTGCAATCGTCAACAGATTTGACAGCATACAGGCAACTGAACAGACAGATCTCCAAATGCATGCGGCAAGACTTACGCAACTTTAATACTGCTCGTATTAAAGAAGCGATCGAGCGGAACCAGGGCTCCAAAGTCTTTGCCAGAGATCTGTCTGCCAGAAAGAGCCAACTGTCAAAGCTGAAGACTGAGTGTGGCAGCATCGTTTCCGGGACACCTGAGATTTTGAGTGAGATTGAGAGGTTCTATGGGCAGCTGTACACATCATCGTTGGAGCCACACGCAAGTGTGAGTAACGATACAAGAGCAAGTCTTACCAGACACTATTCCGACGATATCCCGGACGTCAGTCTGAGCGAGATTAGAATGGCTCTCCAGCACCTTAAAAACGGCAAGGCCCCAGGCGAGGATGGAATTACAGCGGAGCTTCTGAAAGCGGGTGGAACACCAGTACTTGAAGTCCTTCAGAAGCTCTTCAATTCCGTCCTCCATGGTGGCACTACTCCGGAGGCGTGGAGCAGAAGTGCGGTGGTCTTGTTCTTTAAGAAAGGCGACAACGCTCTCTTGAAGAACTACAGACTGATTTCCCTTCTGAGCCGCGTCTACGTGCTGTTTTCGAGAGTCATTACGAATCGTCTCGCACGCAGACTCGACGACTTCCAGCCTCCCGAACAAGCCGGTTTCCGAAAAGGCTTCAGTACCATAGACCACATACATACCCTGCGGCAGATTGTACAGAAGACCGAAGAGTACAATCTGCCACTTTGCCTGGCGTATGTGGACTATGAGAAAGCCTTTGATTCCGTCGAAATTTGGGCGGTGCTACAGTCCCTTCAGCGGTGCCAAGTTGACTGTCGGTATATCGAAGTGCTGAAGTGTTTATACAGTAGGGCTATGATGGCTATCAGAGACAGAACCAGAGTTCGAAACCTATTCAACTGCAGAGAGGTGTAAGACAGGGTGACGTTATATCCCCGAAACTCTTCACCGCTGCGTTGGAAGAAGTTTTCAAGCTACTGGACTGGAAAGGATATGGTATTAACATCAATGGCGAGTACATCACTCACTTTCGATTTGCCGACGATATAGTCCTTATGGCAGAATCGCTAGAGGACCTTAGCAATATGCTCAATGACCTCAATGGTGTCTCCCAACGGATAGGTCTTAAGTTGAAAATGGACAAAACAAAGATCATGTTCAATGTCCATGTCACACTTATGCCAGTAGTTGTTGGGAGCACTATGCTCGAAGTTGTTGACGAGTACGTTTACCTGGGGTAAATAGTCCGACTAGGTAAGTCCAACTTCGACCGAGAGGTCAATCGACGGATTCAATTCAGCTGGGCAGCGTTCGGGAAATTACGACACATCTTCTCGTCAGGTATACCTCAATCTCTGAAAACTAAAGTGTACAACCAGTGCGTGTTGCCAGTGATGACTTACGGATCAGAGACGTGGTCCTTCACTGCTGGCCGTATGAGGACGCTCAAGGTCGCTCAGCGAGCTATGGAGAGGGCTATGCTCGGAGTTTCTCTGCGTGATAGACTCAGAAATGAGGATATTCGCAGTAAAACCAGAGTGACCGACATAGCCACTGACCTCTATATGTACAAGTACGCTGGACTGGCTATACCATACAAAATGACTGTGCCAATTTGAAGCGCCGCTAAAGGATGTCTTGAAAAATAAAATTGACATAATATGCCAAAGTCTGTTGTCTTATTTATATTGTCATATTTAAAAAAAATATGTACTTTGAACTTTTAAACTAAAAAAAACGAAAGTATTTTATGTTGTTTGATTGTGTATAATATTAGTTACATAATAAGAATTATTTTTAATAATAATGAGAGTGTGCGTAATCTGTAAAACTCGTTACCAAAAGGGAAGTGGTGTAACATTTCACAAGTAAGTGAATTTGCACCAAATATTAAATAAATAAAAACTATTTGATAATATAAGTACTTAAAAATTTGTTACTAATCTTAATATCATTTATACCAACATATTTGGCTGTATATTACTGAGTTTTGATAAACAATAAAATTCAATAGGGTTGTCGAGTTCCTTGTCTATAATACTTATCGATGTTCTTTCTTACCAATATCTGTTAATAAACAAAGTCGCCAACAACAGATGATATCAAATGTTTATTAATTAACAGGTTTCCAACTGAACCTAGACTCAAATTTATCAAATGTTTATTAATTAACAGGTTTCCAACTGAACCTAGACTCAAATTATGGCTTAAAAGCATAAATATTGTGAATTGGCGTCCGAAACAAAATGATCATATTTGTTCCAAACATTTCACAGACGACTGTATTTATTAGGCATGAGAACTGCACCACTTTGAAAAAGTGCAGTATTCCGACAATATTTTGTGGTAGTACCAGTACCAGTAAGTATAAAAGTATTAGATTAATATTTAGAATGTTTTTTATTTCTTCTTTCGTAATTTTCCACCAAACTCAAGGGCCATAGCCAAGTGTCGAAAGGTCGCCTGACAGTGTCGAGCCACGTTGGATGTGTGTTAGTGGGCTGCGGCTAGAGGAGATTACTCTCCTTGTACCGCTGTAGTCGAGGTGGAGTTGCCAGGGAAGAGGAGTGTTGGTATAGCGATTGGCGATGCGATGCCACTCGACTATCTTTCGCGACTTTGGGAGGTGCACCACTTGATGTATTCCAAGTGCTTGTTTTTTCCTGGCTCCATTCACATATCGGGCTAGGGGAGTCCGTAGTGCAGGTGGAGTCAGAGGCCGCGAAGGGCAGTGTGACTTGTGTTTCTGGTGCGTCTTATCTGAGAAGAAAAACGGGGGGGGGGAGAAGTCAGCAACTAAGAAGGTCCTGCCATTGGGCGGCTGGTGCCGAAGGGGCCGCGGGTGTGCATGAAAGCGTTTCCGTGGCCCTGTCAATTTGCGGCGGAGGTAGAACACCATGGGGTTTTAGTAAGTGCGATCTAGAGATTTAATTCTCTCTCAATTGCAGGCATGTAATAGTATGAGTACATATTTGTGCTATTTGTTGTAGATGCTATTGGTCCGTAGGGTGTACGTGCGGTGTAGTTCCTAAAAAACTGTATCTGCGACTGGTCATCGCTGCTGGTAATAAGAAGTAGTTTAGTTTGTTGCTTCCTCGCTTGAAGGCTAAGTATAGCCATTCAGAGATGACACGTAGCCAGCATTCTTGGGACGATACCACGGAAAGTAGAATTGTATAATAATTTCAGTTATTTTTTTAATATTATAATTTTAATTTCGAAAATGACGCTGTAAATAACTGATAACTATGTAATTCAAAGTTTATATATATTTTTTTAATATTATCTACATCGTACCCGGCGCATTGCTGCCGCAGAAGAAATAATTGTGAAAATATCGTTAAAAATGTGGAAGAGTTGTATTGTATAATTAGGAATGATAACCTTCGCACAAGTGTGTATGGCATCGTAGAAAGTACGAACAAACATAAATATTTTATATAGTAGAAAATATTTTACTGTCTATAGACAGACCTGTATTTAATTAGAATAAGCGTAATTATAGCAGCTGATTTATTTTTCTTTATAA